TATGTGTCCGTAGTTCAGCCGCAGCTTGACAGGTTTGCATGCAGTCTTCGGGGCCCAAGGGCTTTTCAGCAAGGCAAAATTACTTCAGGGGCCCCGAAAGTCGAGAATTTGAGGGTGGGAGATTGCGGGCTTCGGGCCTTGAGACTGGGGTGGCTTAAGGGTTTGGGAAATTTTAAACTGAGAACTTCAAGCTCACATCTGAATTGCACAAGCGCAGTTGCTGTTTAAAAGTCTTGGCACCAATTCGACACCTGCCTCTGAAATACCCTTCTCAGACGATAACCGTGCTTTGGCACACCCTTCATGCCTTCAACCATAAAAACCCACAACCCGAAACCCTGCTTCTGACGTAGCGGTCGCAAACTACACTTCCCTGTGTCGGCAACACGGGGAACAAAGGCTGACAGCTTCAAAATTTGTGTTGAAAACCAGGCTCTGGATCTCTTTAGGGTTTCCGAGTTCTTCGCTGAAACACATGGGGGAATTCAGCTGTATGGGCTAGGATTGAGGGAACTTAGAGTGCAGTGTGGACACGCCCTGGGCACCTTGTGACCCAATGCTGGGCAACTCCGGCGCGGGCTCCCATGGCCGCTGCGCCTCCAATGGTTCGTGGGCTTTAGAGTTCGGGCTTTGGCGTTTAGGGTTTAGGGTTTAGCGTTTAGGGTTTAGGGTTTAGGGCTTAGGGTTTCGGGTTTCGGGTTTAGGGTTTAGGGGTTGGGGTTTGGGGTTTGGGGTTTGGGGTTTAGGGTTGAGGGTTTAGGGTTTACGGACTCTGCTGACTTGATCGCCGCATGGGCCTAATGCAGGGGTTAGAGCCTCCTTGTTATCTTATGATGGTCAAAGGCTGAAGACCCCAAAGATTTCTCTGGCAGCCTATCTTGCAGAGGCTTTTTCTGGTAACCCTAAACCCCAAACCCTAAACCCTAAACCCTAAACCCTAGACCCCAAACCCTATGCCCTAAACCCGAGACCGTAAAACACGCGGAGCGCCTGCACGAAAGCATCGGCGGCATCTGGGGTGGGTGCAGACCAAGGCGCGCACGGCGGAGGCTGGAGTCCTGGGTCTCCAGTCGGGCTTCTAGCTTTCCTTAATGGGAGATAGACCCTCTCCGTAAGGTCCCTCCCGGTTTAGGGTTTAGGGTTTAGGGTTTAGGGTTTAGGGTTTAGGGTTTAGGGTTTAGGGTTTAGGGTTTAGGGTTTAGGGTTTAGGGTTTAGGGTTTAGGGTTTAGGGTTCTCCGTAAGGTCCCTGTTTAAGAGAGCCAGAAGTGCATTAAGACACCGACTACAGTGGAAATATTCGAGGGGTGTAGGGTTTACGGCAATTGAGACTACCGCGCCTGAGCTAATCACGACAGGCTGCTACGATAAGGCCGAAAAGTGCTGCAGCTAAGGCGTGCAATAGGGGGGCATCCAAAATAAAGGGGCCATAATTTGCAGCGCCGCCCAATTGTACAATTTGATTAAGAACCACCCAAGACTAAGATAATCATCCCTATATTGCTCTTATAAAGAAGAATTTTCTTTTTCGTTTTTTTTGGGGGGGTCTTGAGCAAATAGTAGAAACGAGCGATGGTGCGAGCTGGGCAGCCGCAGTCTCCGGGAACTTTCCACTGGTCCGAGGAACCTTGCACCAGCAGCGGTGGGAACAAGTCTGGCTCTCCAATTCCAACCTTCTCTAAACTAGCCCCAACATCTAAGGGTAGTTTCATGGTCCCTACATAGGCGCCCCCCTTGTATACCCCTTATATACCCTATACAAATTAAGGGCCCGGGACCATATTAAGATATATTAAGGGCCCATGCAACTACCCTTAGACAACAGCCCTAAGCCCTGACAGTAGACCCTAGGAGGAAAACTGTGGAGTTCGACTCCTCGGGCTTGCAAGCAATTGAACCGCAAGCCTGAACTTCCTACTGTGCGAGGCTTGTGAGCGCCCTCCATGCCCAACCAAACTCGACCCTCCCAACTACCCACCCCCTAAACCCTCAACCCTCAACCCTAAACCCTAAACCCTAAACCCCTGAGCTCCCCCCAAAGCTCTCCGTGCCTGAGACCGAGTCGGAGAGGGCACACTGGAGCTGGCTGGCCGAGGTGCTGAGGTCCTCCTTCTTGCAACCCACACTCCGCAGAGAGCTTCAGGCTTAAAGAGGGTTAGAGCCTGTAGGGTTTAGGGTTTAGGGTTTAGGGTTTAGGGATTAGGGATTAGGGTTTAGGGTTTAGTGTTGAGGGTTTAGGGTTTAGGGTTTAGGGGTTCAGGGCTTCATGATCGGGCTGGAACCAGGGGCCTTGAAGAGAATCATGTTGGGTGGAAAGATCGGAGGAAGAGGCTGCTGGGTCTTGGTCTTGAAGCCCCCTCTCACCCTCCCCCCCCCCCGCCCCCCCCGCCCCCCCCGCCCCTCAACCCTAAACCCTAAACCCCCAGCCGCAGCCACCTCAAGCAGCATGCGGCCGATGCTGCGCGCTGGGCACGACAGCGTTGGGCGCCCAAAAAGTGTGTCCTTAAGCAAGCACAAGAAGCCCACTGTTGCCTCTTGGACCCCTGTCAAATAGAAAGCCCCCAAAGCCTCCGTTGGATCCCTAAGCAGCCACACCCTTTTCAACGGAGAAGTTTGGCCAAGACGACCTTGGGCGTGCGATGGGCCAAGGTAGTTCTACCTGCCATTGCCTGCTACTTGTCACGGTCTTCACAACTACCCATGAACTTTCAAAAAGCCGAGTGAAACAATCATTCCCCTAAGTCATAGCAGGACTCTCGTGCGAGGGAATCTTACTGAATGAAGATGAACCTGTGTGCTTTGATCTTCGAGATTCCATATACACATCATGATGCGCAATTACTTCGACTTGCCATATGACTGTATCATGAACTCCAAGCAGACGCTGCTAGGTACCGGGTGGCCGCCTGCGCCGGGCTGTTGACGTGGATGAACGTGTTCCGCACCTGTCGGCGGCTAGGCCAGCACTGCTTTCAAATAGCTTCATCTCCAGGTGTGAACGAGCCATTTCAAAGATGAGCAGGCTCATCGTGATTTTGAGAGTTTGCGGTGCCTCAAGGAACATGACTTTGAGCACAAATCATGCTCACATATGGGAACTACAATGAGCAGTCAAGGTCATCGTGCTGAAAAGTACGGACTCGCAACTTCAAAAATGCTAGAGCAGCTTTCCTTACTACGGGTGAACGCCGACAACAAACTTGCGTTTTAATCTTGCACTTAAACACACACAAAGTTCATGAACGCAGTGCGGTGTGAGCTGCTGTTGCTGACTTGTATGCGTTTAGTCGCGTGATACCCTTGCGCATTTTGCTTCGAGCTCCTCGTGATAGCCACCTAAAGCCAATGCGGAGCGCCTGGACGCAGTCCGGTGGGTAGGAAAGCAAGTCCTCGCAAAGGCTTGCAGTTCGGGCGCGCGTTTTTTTTTTTTTTCTAAGGGTTTAGGGGTTGGAATCCTAAACCCCTAGAACGTCAAGGCAAATCATAAATCCTCCTCGCCTTCTTAGTGTTCGTTTCTTTTTTGAGGGCGGGAGGAGGTACCGTTCCAAGGCTCAGAATCAGGGCATTGCGATGTCTGACTGCCCATTCTTCATAATACTTATTGCCCATACTGTTATACATTGAACAATGTAGGGTTCAGGCTTTAGGGTTTAGGGTTATACATGGAACATGCTGTATTTGTTCTGTATATCACACATTATGTGGCGTCCGGGTCTGTGTCTGGCACCACGATCTCCATCGGTGGAACAGGCCGGACCCGGTTCGAGGTCCGCGGCAGAAGCTTTGGCTGGTACCTGGTGTGTCTGGGCGCTTCAAGGCAGCTCTTGCGAAAATAGGGGTACCCTTTTGAAAGGTCCCTTTAAGGGGAGTCTATTCTATTTTGGGGTATAAAGGGGGGCACCCCTATTTGGGGAAGTACCCTTTTTGTGGCGGGGGGGGGTATGTTTTTGGGTCGGACACAATCCCACCGACCAGTTGCGATCAAAGGCACATATCCAGGCGGGGTCAGCCTACTAGATCGCGAGGGACAATGGTACCGCCGACTTACTGCCGTCACACTGAGCCCGGGGCAGGTGTTTTAGGATTTTGGGGACTTGGGATTTGGGGGTTTTGGGATGTTTTAGGGCAGTGTAGGGTCAAGGGAGCTTTGGCGGTGTCTTGGGAGGGTTCAGGGTAGAGGGCTGCGGGGGCACGTACAGTATGCCCAAGCCCTGAACCCCTTTGTTTAAACTCGAGCCGCGCGTTGGAACTTCCGGCCAGGAAACAGCGCACAAGCCCACCTAGGATGTCAGCGAGACCTTTGCTGGGGCTGGCCAGTCTGGAGACCTCCCCTTGGTTTAGGGTTTAGGGTTTAGATTTCGGGTTTGGGTTTAGGGTTTAGGATTTAGGGCTTAGGGCAAGTGGTTTGAGGGGGATGGGGAAAGGGAAAATGCGCATCTTAGTGGAACTTCTAGAGTTGAGGGCAGAGGCGGGGGGAGCCCCGCAGTCCGACAGGAAGCCTCCCAGACTGGCGCGTTCTTCCCAGCGTCTGTACGAATTGGCTATGCACTCTAGTGCCGACTTGATTGCGAGCACCAATATAAGGCACACCGAGCGGGGCGTGGCATTCCTACAGGCTTTTTGCGGGAGTATTCTGGTAAACGTCTATAGGGACCATAAGGGACTGCCATTAGTGATTGTTCCGACCCCTATGTTACGCCTTGCCGCGCCGGTATGGAACAGGGTGCCTGCTGCCACGTCAGGCAGCACTAAACGGCTTTAGGGGTCGAGGGCCCATGACGGCTGCATAAACTCTACGCCTTTGCCAAGGCCTGGGGCTTTTAACTGTTTGGGTCTGTCGGTTCTTCGTTCAGTCGCAGTCCTGGCGGGTGAGAACTGCCACAAGATCCTACCCTAAGCCCTAAACCCTAAACCCTAAACCCGAAACCCTAACCCTAAACCCGAAACCCTAAACCCTAAACCCTAAACCCAAAACCCTAAACCCTAAACCTACTTGCCAGCTTCAGGCGCCGCCCTTTAAGGCGGCTTTCTTTGCCTTCTGGCGACGCTTCTTCGCCCCACGATCACAGAGGTGGCAGAAGGTGCACATGGCCCCATTGATGCAGCCCTTGGCCTCAGTCCCGCATCTTTAAGGGTTTAGGGTTTAGGGTTTAGGGTTTAGGGTTTAGGGTTTAGGGTTTAGGGTTTAGGGTTTAGGGTTTAGGGCACTCCATGCTCCTTTAGGGACGGTTTTCTTTTGAACGAAGCCCTCAGAGGTAGGGTCACTTGTCGGGGATACCAAGGGTTCATCCGCTTTTTTGAACTAGCGTGGTCCTCAGTGTCATGATTCCTCCTGTTCTTGCGGCTTGGTTTTGCCCTTTTTGGGGGCTTGCCCTTTTGGGGGCTGGGGCTTGGAGGCTACTAGGCCATAACTCATAGCCTGTTTCAACCCTAAACTCTAAACACGGATCCCTCAACCCTAAACTTGCCTCCTCGAAGCCATATCTTGTTCAGAACACGACGAACCCCGCCTTCGGCATGTGGTCAAACACAGCTTCGGGCGAGCAGAGGTCGAAAACCCCTGCCCCCTCCACGAAAAAGACCCCAGTGTCGCACCCAAGTAACTATAAACATAACAGAAATCATCGCACCAGTAGCAAGAACAACAAAGATAGCCTGCTCCATGTTGGAAATACGAATAGGATACACCTTTACTGGAAGCCCGAAACCCTACACCCTACACCCTAAACCCCAAACCCTAAACCCTCAACCCGAAACCCTAAACCCTAAATAATGGAAGCGCGAGTGGCATAGAGGAAGCCACAAGGCCGGCAGTCCCCGCGGTGGTGACCCTTGGAGCCGACGCTTGGCAGCTCCGGGGACCCGGGGGCGGGCTCCTTCCGCGCACTCGTTGGTGTTTGCCTTCGTTTGTGTTGTTAGGGTTTAGGGTTTAGGGTTTAGGGTTTAGGGTTAGGGTTTGGGGTTTCGGGTTTCGGGCTTAAGGGTTGGGGGGAGTTCAAGGTTCAGCGTTTCAATTGGGTCTCTCTCTTCTTTGTATTTCGGTCTAGGGTTTGTGGTGGGGAGGGAGATGCCTGTAGGGCACCCCTGTGTCTCTCACTGGCCCAAAGAAGCCCCGAAGCCTCTGCGACACCCTCAGACAGCCCGAAACCCTAAACCCTGAGCCCGGTTTTGCAAAACCCGAAACCCGAAACCCCAAACCCTAAACCCTAAACCCTAAACCCTAAACCCTAAACCCTAGCTCTCCTGGGGCGCTGGGAGGACGGGCATGGCTGGCACCCTGGACCTCGGCCGCGTCGCTCAGCTAAGGGGTTTGGGGCTTAGGGTTTAGGGTTTGGGGTTTAGGGTTTAAGGTTTGCGGTTTAGGGTTTAGGGTTTGGGGTTTGGGGTTTAGGGTTTGGGGTTTGGGTTTGGGGTTTTGGGGTTTAGGGTTTGGGGTTTAGGGTTTAGGGTTTAGGGTTTGGGGTTTGGGGTTTGGGGTTTGGGGTTTGGGGTTTGGGGTTTGGGGTTTGGGGTTTGGGGTTGGGGGTTTGGGGTTGGGGTTTGGGGTTTGGGGTTTGGGGTTTGGGGTTTGGGGTTTGGGGTTTGGGGTTTGGGGTTTGGGGTTTGGGGTTTGGGGTTTGGGATGTGGCTTTAGGGTTTAGGGTTTGGGGTGAAAGGAGTTTAGGGTTTTGGGGTTTTGGCAGCAGGTTGCACAACATTCCCTGCATGACTTAGAGCTTGGGCGTTTTGCAGTTACCTGAACTTCTGCACGACGGTTGGGTCCTGGTTGAAAATTCTGAAATCCCGGAAGCTCTCAACCCCTGTGTCTTTCCACAACCGACAACAGCTGAAGTACCACAGCTGGCTCACACTACTGGTGCCGGCAACTCCGGCACCTCCATGTGCGATTCCTCTTCTTTTCGTTCAGCTTGGCTTCAATTGATCAAACTTCAAGCCACACTCAGCTGGCAGGTTGCTGTTGCGGGCGTCACATGCGTCACAAGATCTTGAAGCCGACCTCCTTGGGGCTGAGCCCGCAACCCAAAGCCCAAAGCAAACTTGGGCTGACCCCACCATGAGAGAAAAAAGGGCTAACCCCTCACTCGCTACAACCCTCAAACCCCCGACTCAACCCTTAAGCCGCATGCGTAAGCCCGTGAACCCGGAAGACCGAAGCCTACACCAGAAACCTCGAAGCCCGGCGGCAGGTTGGACAGGTTAGCGAGGTCAGGCCCCTCAAGTGGCCTGAGTCAGAGGTGGAGGGGGTAGATCTCTATAGAGTTCAATAGTTGTAGAGTTCTGGAGTTAGATATCGGGCCATAGAGTTCTGGAGTTGTAGAGTTACAGGGTTTCGGCTTGCTGGTTAGGCCTAAACCCTAAACCCTAAACCCTAAAACCCTAAACGGTTTGGAGGCTCAGGGGGGGGGGGGGGGTTTCTATTTGGGGGAGTAGACTTCCAGACCGATTTGACCCCAAAACGAGGAAGAAACTTGCAGCTCCTGAAGTCCTAGCTCTGCTCAGTACCCGTTTGGGTTTTTTTTTCTTTTGGGGGGGGGGGGGGTATATTCGGAGAACTCCGTAGAGAAAACCTGCGTAATATGCGCATCTGGGTATTTCCCAGAATAGCGATCCCCTAAAAACCCCAAGATGCTGTGAATCTCTCTATAGGCACCCCAAAAAGGGTGCCCCTAGTTTAGGCCAGGCCCCACAGTGAGCCCAGAAAACTCGGTTCTACCCCTAAACCCTAAACCCTAAACCCTAAAACTCTCAAAGCCTTGAGCCTCTGCCTCAGAAAGCCTGAGAAGCTCTGGGCCGTTTAGCACCTCAAGCTCTTCCCCTGATAGGGTTTAGGGTTTAGGGATTAGGGATTAGGGATTAGGGATTAGGGGTAGAACCGCAACCCCCTGAAAACTCTCCAAGTTGCGGCTTAGGGTTTCGTCGCTCACTCTCGCACAAGGCAGGTTTAGGGTTTAGGGTTTAGAGCTCAGGGTTCAGGGTTTAGAGTTTAGGGTTTAGGGTTTGGGGTTTAGGGTTTAGGGTTTAGGGTTTAGGGTTTAGGGTTTAGGGCTCCAGAGCTGCCGGGCAGCATCGGCACTTGCAGGCGGGCGCCCCACTGGTTCTGCCGCATCGGGCCAACGGGATAAGGGTCCTCGAAGATTAGGGCTTTAGGGTTTAGGGTTTAGGGTTTAGGGTTTAGGGTTTAGGGTTTAGGGTTTAGGGTTTAGGGTTTAGGGTTTAAGACCCTAAGCCCAAAACCCTCAACCCTTAACCCTCAAGAGACCTTCGGGACTTTTCGGGATGATTCGGGCTTTGGGGCTTACGGGGCTTCTAGGGCTCTACTAGGGCCTATGGGGCAGAGCTTGTCGGGCAGATGTAGTTTCAGGTTCCAGTTTAGGGCTCTCTCTCTCTCTCTCTCTCTCTCTCTTTCTCTCAGTCAGAAGCCGAGACAAGGCCAACACGTAATGATCGGATTCGGTGTTTGGGACACTCCGGGCTTTGGCCACCTTTTGAAGGGAAGGGGCTGCAGAGCTTCAAGAGGGGGTTATACGGTTTCTTGAGGGCTTGCAGGGCGTATCAAGTATACCCTCGAACCCGAAATAAGGGATTTTGGGCTTTTGGGCCTTCGGCCTGTGCATGGGCGATTGAACTAAAAAAACCATCTGCGCCCAAGACTCCCGTGGCCCGCTGTCCGCGAGCGCATCTTCCAAGCGAATCACAGGCCGCAGGCTGGAGGAGGGTGCCCGGGGCGTCTCCTGCAAAGGCGTCTTGAGAAAAAGTTGCCAAAGCAGGCCTCGGCCCTACGTAAAGCCCTGACTTTTGTTTGACCACGGACTGAGGAGCCTAAACCCGAACCCACCCCAACACGATATTACTATTACTACTACTACTACTACTACTACTACTACTACTACTACTACTACTACTACTACTACTACTACTACTACTACTACTACTACTACTACTACTACTACTACTACTACTACTACTACTACTACTACTACTACTACTACTACTACTACTACTACTACTACTACTACTACTACTACTACTACTACTACTACTACTACTACTACTACTACTACTACTACTACTACTAGTAGTACTAGTGGTAACAAGATTCAATAGGATGTTTCAGCTCAGGGGTGCTTCTAGGATTCCTATGGGCGAAGAAGCCCCCGGGCCACAGCTTCCTACTGGCCTAGGAAGTCTCTCGGATCTCTTGAGATTCTCGGGGTTTCTGAATGCCTCTTAGAGAATTTTTTTGCCACCTGCAGAGCAACCCATCATTCTAAAGCATGGTCTCAGCAGGACTTAGGGTTCAGAGGTTTTAAGGTCTAGGCCCTCCAGAGTTCAGGCTGATCAGGGAATGAAGGTGCATGATGTCGGGGCTTGGGGGGTTTTGGATCGATCAGGAATGAGGGATTGGCAGTTGAGGGTCTTAGCTGCGTCCTGTGAGGGTCGTCTTGGGTCCCTTAAAGAACCTCAATTAGGCTGAATGATCCCTAGATAACCTATCCATTATGGGGGAGGGGACCTTAAGTATAGAGGTGTGGGCAGTAGGGGAACCCAGATTCGAGGGTTGCCGGCGCATTTGGGGGTTTTAGGGCGCTAGGGTACCGAGACCCAGGCTGGAAGAGCAAGGCCCAACCAAGAAAAGAACTCCACAAAATTGACATCTGGGGATGTTCCCTCTTTGTACTAGCAGTCCCTAGTAGGGATGATAGTACCCCCTATTTTCAATCTCTATGACGGGCTGTGAGTATAAGGGGGAACATCCCAAACTACAAGCCTCATAACTACCAAACAGACCAACAACCGCCAAGCACCAACACAGCATCAGAACCCCTGTAAATCTTTCTCAAGGCGGCCTCAGATAGCATAGGGGCCTTGATAATTAGAACAGGGTTTTGGGGGGTTCTTATAGTATAACCACAAAGGGGCCATAAGGAAATACTACTCGTAAGGAATCCGACCCCTATAGTAGGTCAAGTTCAGAGGTTTCGGGTTTAGGGTTTAGGGTTTAGGGTTCAGGGTTTAGGGTTTAGGGGAGAGTTGCTCATAATTCGGCATCCCTCCCAGCCCAAGGCGTACGGGTTTTGGCCCGCACACTCTCGTGCATGCAGGGTCTGGCAACTCCAAAACCCTTAAATCCTCTTTTGCGCCACTCAGCCCCATCTCGTCTACGCCAAAGAATAGATGGTGATTTCTCTCTAAACTGGTCCCTTTGGAGGTTATTATTACAAGGCGGGCCCTACCCAAAAAGTGGCCATAATCTAGAGAACTGGCCATATAACGCCTGGTCATAAACCCCAAACTCGTGAACCTCACATTTCTATACCACTCCCAAACCTAAACCCTAAACCCTAAACCCCAAAGTCCAAAACCCCTCAACTCCACTCCCCCCATGCCTTCTTCGCCGGGGGCAGCGGCGTATCCTCCTCCTTTGGCTTTGTGGGCTGAAATCGCTCTCTGTAGCAGATTGAGGGGCATCTAGGCTGAGGTTTACTCAGCGCTGCCTCTGTGTCTGAACACTTTAGGGTTTAGGGTTTAGGGTTTAGGGTTTAGGGTTTAGGGTTTAGGGTTTAGGGTTTAGGATGGGTTTAGGGTTTAGGGTTTAGGGTGTAAGGATGATGGTGTTCAGAAGGATTCCATGGAAACCCTCAACCCCCTGTAGCCAGGCGAGGCTCGAAAATATCGTGGAGCCAGCCGATGTGACTGGCTGGGCAAGACAGCGCAGGGCGGCGATCGACTTCCTGCAGAGGGACTAGTGGGTTGAAGGGGTGGAAGGAGGGACCCCCTAGAAGGGACCCTTTTTCTTATTTTCCCTTTTTCTTCCCCTTATATATTCCATATAGAGTCCCTATATACCTCAGTGGCCCCCGAAATACCCCCCAACGAATCCCTAAGGTCCCTTGCAAGGGACCCTCCTTTAGTCCCTCAATGGGTGCAGACATCGAGATTTACTCCCTACTTGGAGGTTCGGGGCACTTTTAACCCCAACTAGAACTGCACTTGTAAGCCCCAGCAAGTCCTCGAAGTAGGGTTATGAGTAGACTTATAGTTGGGGTTCTAAGTTATAAGAACCCATGCACCTCCAAGTAGTATTCGAGATTTCCCCCTGCCCTCAATGATTCAGGTACCACCCAAAAAAACCCTAAACCCTGACAAATCTCAAGAACCTGCATGGCTCAGGGCTCAATGTAGGATTCGAGCTTGCTTGTTTCGACCCTGACCCCAAACTGACACCGACACCCCGGGCACCGCTTTTTGGGGGGGATCCGTTAAAGGGATTCTATTCTATTTGGGGTATCAAAGGGGTACCCCTATTTTGGGAAATACCCGCATTCGTAAAATCGCAAGGCATCTCAAGAAGCTCTCACAGTCGGACCAGAAAGCCGGCGTTGCGGAACTCCAGCCTCCACGCCCGGGCTTGCCACGTGGATGAACGTGTTCCTCACTTCAACTGCCTGCGCGCAAAGGCAAGACTGACCGGTTGCAATAACTCGCACGGCGTGGTGCGTTAATATGGGGGGGATCTCCGAAAACTAGGAGTGCCCCTCATTACACCCTAGAAAGCCGAAACCCTAAACCCCAAACAGACCCCTAAACGAATCTCCTGGTGTAAGCATAGCCATGCTGGCTCCTAGGTGGCTCGAAGTTGACGGCTGTTTTGGGACTTAGGGTTTAGGGTTTAGGGTTTAGGGTTTAGGGTTTAGGGTTTAGGGTTTAGGGTTTAGGGTTTAGGGTTTAGGGTTTCTGAAACAAAAGTTCCGCAATCTGACCCTTCTTTCACGGCGGCCTCTGGGGGATAAGCCGGGAAGTCGGGATACTCCTCAGCTTCTGCGAGTTCTGGGTAGGGAAATTCGGGAAGTAGGGTGGGCAGCGGTCGAGTGTTTTTGTGAAAAAGTGTCCCTCAATCTCTAAATTCGCTCCTAAACCCTAAACCCTAAACCCTAAACCCTTTTCCTAACCCCTAAACCCTTTTTTCCTAAACCCTAAAAACCCTAACACAGGGGGATATAACCCCAACTACCTAGAACTGGAGGCGTCGCGGCTTCTTTGCAATGCTTAGCAAGCCTCGAGGTGCTCTAAGGCATCTGCGACCCAATAGCCTTGGGTTCCTGGAGTGTTTTAAGGTTCAGGGTTTAAGGGTTTAGGGTTTAGGGTTTTGGGTTTGGGGTCTATAGGGTTCAGGGTTCAGGGTTTAGGGTTCAGGGTTCAGGGTTTCGGGTTTAAGGTTTGGGGTTTGGGGTCTGGGGTTTGGAGTTTGGGTTTGGGTGTAGGTTGGCTGCCATGACAGGGTCAAGCAATACATGGTTTCATATATCTGTATTGTGGCAGCCAGCTCTTGAGTCCCTTTTTAACCCAGCAGCAAGAAGTCTCCTCTGCCCCCCCCCCATCGCCTCAAGACTTTTTCTTTCGCAGGCACTTTGGCAGATCCTGTGGTGCGGATGCCTTCTTCTGTTCGCGTATGTCAAGGAAGATCGGATCGGTCCCCAGATCTCAGTGTTGCCTTTCCTTTACATGGATTTCTCATGTACCACAGGGCCTGTGTGCATCTGCAGGGCATGCGATGGACAAAGCACCCAGTCAGATTCGCAGAACGGTCATATGATGTAAGGAAGATTCCTCAAGGAACCATATGGCACCTACTTCTCCTAGAAGAATTTTCCGATTTCTGAACCAGTGAGGGCTTACGAGTATATGGGATCCTTGCCATAGACCCCCAAATAGTAGGATTCCTTTTTAATACAAACCCCAGCAAGGTACCCCCAATTTCGGGAAAACCCCCCAAGTCAAGTCAAAAGGGCTGGCGACTTCTTTGGGTGCCAGGCTGCCTCCGTCTCACTCTCTGGCAGGGAGATCTGCATCTTCGGGTTCGGGAAAGCTCGGCGCGTGCCGATGGGCGGGTGCCTCGGTACTTTGGAGGTTCAGGGCACTAACCCCAAAGAAACTGCACTTCTAAGTCCTCTAAGTAGGCTAGACGTAAACTTATAATTGGGGTTCGAAGTACCCATGAACCTGCAAGTGTGGCTTCAGGAGGCTTCTTTGTTCTGGGGTTTTGGGTTTTGCAGCCACTGGCAATCTACGCTGCCGCAATCCCGAATGCTTGAGCCCGACAATGCCCGGCGAAAGGGGATTGGGGTGCTGGAGTGTTGTTTAATTATAGGAATTCAGGGTTCACGATTCAGGGTGCAGGCGTTCAGGGTTCAGGGTTTAGGGTTTACGGCTTAGGGCTTAGGATGGTTTAGGATTCAGGTGTTGGGCCCTCCTTCTCGCAGCAAAGGGGCGGCACCGCGCGGGTCGCGAGGTTCTGCTGGGCCGAGGTCGAGGTCGAGGAAGTAAAGCCTTGATGGCATCGGGTTTAGGGTTTAGGGTTTAGGGTTTAGGGTTTAGGGTTTGGGGTTTCGGGTTTCGGGTTTCGGGCTTTAGGGTTTAGGGCTTTAGGGTTTGGGGTTTAGGGTTTAGGGTTTCGGGGTAGACCGAACCTCTTATGTACAACCCACGCCCCAAATATGGCCACTCAACTACCCCCAATCGCCGTCTTGAAACCCTAAACCTCAGCCCCAAACCCACCCATGAAACACTATTCCCTCCACTCCCCCCCCCCCTAAACCCTAAACCCTAAACCCGAACCCTTGTTGGGCAAGGGACTTCGAGGCTGCCGGCAAACATGCAACTTCTGAAGCCTAAACCCCCACCCGAACACCCGCCCTCCCCGAAACACGAAGCAGCCACAAACCCCACACCCTAAACCCTAAACCCTAAACCCTAAACCCTAAACCCTAAACCCTAAACCCTAAACCACAAACCCCGCACCCTGCAAGCCCAGCAGCAGCCGCTGTTGGCATCAAAGTCCAGCCTTCCAGCAGCGGGAGTCTTGGGCTCAGGGTATGAGGGGGTTGAGGGGGTTTAGGGGGTTTACGGGGTTTAGGGGGGTTTAGGGGTTTAGGGGGTTTGGGGGCTTTAGGGGGTTTAGGGGGTTTAGGGGGTTTTGGGGGGTTTAGGGGGTTTGGGGGGTTTAGGGGGTTTAGGGGGTTTGGGGGGTTTAGGGGGTTTAGGGGGTTTGGGGGTTTAGCGGGTTTAGGGGGTTTAGGGCTTAGGGCTTTACTACCTCGATCCCCCCCCTTAGTAAGGCCTGAGGGGTACCCCAATGGGGAACCTAATGGCTCTTACAGCGAGGGTGGAAGGTGCAGCTGCACATGCAAGCACCCGTTGCAACAACAAAAAAATCGGCACTCTATAACTTGAAAAAGACAACGCCCATTTGGGGATTTGAGGTTGAAGATGATGGGCAAGAAAGGGTACCGGGTTTAGGGTTTAGGGTTTAGGGTTTCGGGGGTTAGGGCCAGTTTAGGGTTTACGGAAAGGGTACACCCTTTAAAACTCTGAAGGGCCGTCTACTTTGCTGCCCAAGGTGCCCGAGTGATGCCATGCCTTCCTCCAGGACCCTTCGGGCAGAGCTAGATCTGCCGCAAGTGTCCGGGACTTTTTGGGTATACAGCCCCCCTTGCTTGATCCAAGGAGGCTGCCGAAAACGCCCTCCATTTTACTGCTCATACACATCGAAGAACGGTGCCTCTCGTCTTGTTCCCCCTGCACTGCTTCTGCTGCAAGTCCGCAGGCGTTTTTCACACAGAGAGCTGCCTGACTCGCAGGTGTGGCCTGGCCTGGGGCAGCAGCTTCGGCCGTGCTCGGGTACCCCAGCCCAAACGAAGACCGATGCCACATACCCCGCATGCTGAAGGCAGTGCGCACACTGCTTCCAGCCGGCCGGCTTACGTGCGAGCATCCTAGTCCTAGAAGGAACGGGCCTGCCTGCCATAAGATGAAGACATTACACAGGAAGCCTCGTGCGGTACATTAGGAACAGCTGCAGGCTGGCCACCTGGCACATTACCGACTGCCTAGCTGGCTCATGAAAGCGCACGGGAGAGACGATGAGCTCAGCTTCTATGCTGTACAACAGTTGAAACCATGGATGAAGCTGTCGGCTGGCCAGTTTGAATTTTGAACCACGAAAAGAACGGCACCATAGCCAAGCTGAAAGCACACTATGGCCTAAGATGAAAGGAAGTGCCCTGGCGACAGCGCGGCCCATGCGAAGCAAATTCACTGAGAGTCCTCGATGCTGATGACCAGATTTTCCTGATGCTTGGCTCTGACATGGCACCCATGAAAACTACCTGAAGAACCCAAAAACCTACTCTTTTGTAGGTTTCCTGAGAATCCTAGAAGTGGTTTGATAGTAAGAACCTACAGAAAAGTAGGTTTGGGGTTTCTTCAGGTATTGTCACACCCCCTTAGCCCTTGTTTGCAACTGGACTGAAAACCCTAACCCACCATGTTCAGCGAGGCCGAGATTTGCCCAGCGTCTGCAGTCTCAGCAGGGCGCGTCGGGAATGGATGCAAAGCGCCTGTTTTGGACGTCAAGGCTTCTTGGGAGTTTAGGGTTTAGGGTTTAGGGTTGAGGATTCTTAGGATTGCAGGGGCTTCTAGAGCTTTCTGGTCTTGCACGAAGTGAGCTGATCTGTAAAGTAAAAGGACGATGTCTGGTCTTGCTGGGGGTCATTAAAGGTGTTTTTTAGGTTCTTTGTTGAAGGATTTAGGGAGTTGGGGTTGTTTCTTTAGGGTGGCCTTCGCGCTTCACCGGCAGGAGGTCAACCACGGGAGCACCTTGGATAAAGCTTCTGGTTGTCGAGGTCTAGGGTTTAGGGTTTTGGGTTTAGGGTTTAGGGTTTAGGGTTTAGGGCTTAGGGTTTAGGGTGTAGGGTGCAGGGTGTTGGGTGTAGGGTGTAGGGTTTGCGGTTTGGTTTAGGGTTTAGGGGCTTGTTGGAGCTTGGCGAGTCTGGTGGCCAGTGCCCCCAAGTTGCCACCCCAAGCCTCTAAGACCCTGAAGTCCCAAACCCTAAGCACCTGAACTCTGCTGGAACATGCTACGTCAACAGCAGTTTGGGGTTTAGGCTTTAGGGTTTAGGGCTAGGGGTTGAGGGTTTAGGGGAAACAACCCTGAACACCGAACACCTGGACCGGACCTGAACTTGCCGAGGTGCTGTTGGAGCTCTCACCCGGCGTCTCCTGCACAGCCTCCGAGCTCTTCGTAGCCCTGGCCTGGTGGCGATAAGCGATGCAAACTCGGGGTTTAAGGGTTTTACTCGGATCGGCTGTGTCGAAATGTATGCCCATCCAGCCTTTCGGGCGGCATTCTGCCGACGACCGAAGGGGCCCAGCTGCAGTTGCTTCTGCTCCTCGTGAAAGCAAGATCTTGAGAAGAACCTGAAGCACAGAGACACCCGGGTCCTTCTCCAACTGGCGCACCGCTTGGCGAGCTTCCTCCACTCGCACGGCCATGACGAACGCTGACTGGGGTTAAGGACTCAAGGCAGCCTAGGGATGAGCGCCACGTCCCTTCGTTTGGTGTGCTTGCCTAGCCGAGGCGGGCAGTCCTTCTCACGCAGGCGCATCTCATCCTGGGCCTTCTTGGCCTCCTCCGCCTTGGCCACCAGCAGTGCACAGCAGGGTGTCAGTCAGTTTCCGGCTTTGGGGGTTTGGCGCGGCGCGCAAGCTTGATTGGAGGAGCAAAGCCGTAATCTGTAATGCTTCCTTGCTACTCCAACATGCGGATGTGTGCAGCGACATGCTGGAAGATGAACACAGGTCGAAAATCACTCAAGCACTGACGTATGTGGGCAATGAACACGTCAAGGCCGAGGACCCCGCCACCTGCAGCAGCTCCTGAATCTTCTGGCGCTTGGCGTCCTTCTCGGATTCCATGCTGGCCTCCGCCTCCTTGTGCTTCCGAAGCCGTTCCACCTCGAAGCCCAGAAGCACGAGTAGGTCCTCTTGATGCTGCACCTCCTTCTGGCGCTCCGTGCACTCCTTCGCAGCCTCCCGCTTGCGCTTCCGCAAGTCCTTGGCGCGGCCGAGCGCCTGCTCCTCGAGCTCCGACGCCTCCTTGACCACCTGGCTCAAGCGGTCCACCTCCGCCAAGGCTTCGTCCACCAGCTTCTGCTTGCCCGCCTCGACGTCCATGGCCGCGGCGATCAAAACGTCGTGCTCCGCCAGCTGGGACTCCAGGCGCGCCTTCATGTCCCAGGGGCTTGCAGACTTCAGCTCCGCCAGCACGCGCGCACGCAGGCCGGCCTTGCGCTTGCGCTTGCCTGAACCCTCCTTCCCCTCCGCCTCCTCCTTGCCCTCTGCATCGGCCTCCGCCTCCTCTGCCTGATCTGCCTCCTCTGCATCGGCCTCCGCCGGCGCTTCCTCCGCGTCCGCTTGGCATGGCTTCGCATCTGAGGCACGCGGTGCGTCTGCATCCGGGGCACGCGGTGCATCCGAGGCACGTGGGGCGTCCGAGGCATCAGCAGAATCTGCGGCATCCGCCGAGTCCTTGACCGAGGCCTCACCGGCACCTTGAGGCACCTCTGTGACGATGGCGCTGGCTTCCTCCTTTGCTTCAGGGCCCGTGACAGCAGGCTCCGCAGAGAGGTCGGGCTTCACGGGCTCGCCCAGCTCCTTGGCGAGGGCAACGGACACGGGGGGAAGCGGCATCGCGACAACGGCGGCGAGAGCACCTCAGAAGCAAGGGCCCTCGCTGTCACTCATGCTCACCACGCGCACCCTGAACTCTGACATTGCAATCCGGCACTCAGAAAGCCGTGTTTGTTGCGGCCTAGCGGAGGGTTGAGGAGCTCACAGCTCAGCTTGGGCTAATGGGGCTGTGTTAGACCGTTGAGGGTTGCGGTTATGCCTTGGGGCATACGTTGCGCTCGGGAGTATTTTAGGATCTCCTGAAGAAATGCAAACCCTCAAAGAACAAGTTGCAGGGGATCCAATTATCCTACTTCGCCTCAGAATCACCATGTGAACCCTCAGACGTCGAATGCCCTGCGCGGGGGGGTGGGGGGGGGGGGGGGGGGAGACATCTTTGCAGCATGTTCGAACAGAGGAATTCGTGAGAGTTAAAAAATCTGCTGGCCATAGCCCGGGATGGCCTGGTAGAAGTCCCTGGAGTTCCAGTTGGGGCATAGTGGCCACGTGTAAAGCAAGACATTCTGTCAAAAATCTTGTGCAATTGACGAAGAGAATGCGTACGGAATCGAGGCGAGGGCACTATTTTGCGACACCACGAAATGCAAATCCTTTAGATTGGAAATGAAACTGAACCCATCCAACAGCCCCAAGACGCAGCAAAACACACGCCGGTCACATGTGCGTGGCACGATATTTAGGGCGTGTGGGGGGCTTAGGGTGTTTACGGTGGTTGCTGCGTTTCGCGCCGAATCCGTTGCGTAAGCTCCAGGCTGGAACAGAAGCGCGCGGGCACAGGTGCGGCTGCACAGATGCAAGTCGGCACAACTGAAATGGCAGCAGAAATCACAAGCATGAAAGAAGAAGACTTTCATCTTGTTCCGAGGGATCAGGGAGCTCTTGAAGCTAAGTCCAGACTTCCGCAAACGGTCATGGCTGCTGCAGACTGCATGCATTTTCACACAGATAGCTGCCTGGCTCGCATGTATGGCTTGGCCCGGGGCAGCAGCTTCGGCCGTGCTCGGGTACCCCAGCCCAAACTATGACCGATGCCACCTGCCCTGCAAGCTGAAGGCAGTGCGCACACTGCTTTCAGCCGGCCTGTCCACATACGAGCAGCCTAGAGGGAACAGGCCTGCCTGCAAGAAGCTGATGACATAGAAAGCCTCGTGCGGTGATTTAGGAATAGCTGCAGGCTGGCCACCTGACGCATTACCCACTGCCTGGCTGGCTCACTAAGGTGCGGCCGGAGCGCACGGGAGAGACGGTGAGCTCAGCTTCTATACTGTACAAAAGTTGACGCCATGGATTAAGCTGTCTGCTGGCCAGTTACAAGTTTAACCCCTAAAGGAACGGCACAATGGCCAAGCTGAAAACACACTATGACGATACGCGAAAGGCAATGCTCTTGCGACAGCGCGGCCCATGCGAAACAAATTCACTGGGAGTCCTCGATGCTGATGATCAGATTTTCCTGATGCTTGGCTCTGGCCCGCGGGAGATGCGACATGACAAAGCAAAAGAAGGGCGGTAACAGAAGCAAACATCCGCCGTGAGTGTATGATCCGTTCTCTACATTTGAGATCCCCCTCCATCGCTGGGCATAGAACCCATGAAGCCAAGACCCTGAACCTCAAGAAGGCTTTTTTGTAACTGCACGGAAAGCTGAAAGCTGGACTGCCAGGAAACTAAAGCCCCGACACCCTGCAAAAGTACCTTCGACCCAATAGCCTTTTCTAAGTCCCCCAAACCTGCCGAAAGCCCATGATGTTCTTGTACCCCAACCCCATCTCCTAAACCACCCTGTTCGAAAGAAGCCCAGCGTCTGAAGTCTCAGCAGGTCGCGTGGGGAACGGATTCATTGCGCCTTTGGGGGGTTTAGGTTTTGCGAGAATTAGGGTGTATTTTGAAAGGCGTTGGGCGTGAAAGCTTTCTGGTCTCTAGGGTTTAGGGTCTAGGGTTCAAGGGCTGAGGGTTGGGGTCTTTTTGGGCGATTGGCTCAGGCCTTCGCGCTTCACAGGCAAGAGGTCCACCACAGGGGCACCTTGGATCACGCGGGTTTGAACCCGTTTGACAGTAAACAGGGGTTTCTGCCCTGAGGTTTCCGATTCAATGTCTGATCCTCTGGCCTTAAACACTACCGGTGGGCTGGGGTGCCTGGAGTTTGGGTGATGCTTCAACTCAAGGGGGCCTATCACAAGCATGTCCTCAGCAAGGCCCTCAGCTCCCAAAAAATGACTCACGCGAAGCCTGAAGTCTGAGCGCCTTAATGGTTCTGCGTTTAGGGTTTAGGGTTTAGGGTTTTAGGGTTTTAGGGGTTTAAGGGTTTAGGGGTTTAGGGTTTAGGGTTTAGGGTTTAGGGTTTAAGGTTTAGGGTTTAGGGTTTAGGGTTTAGGGTTTAAGGTTTAGGGTAAACACCCTTGCCGAACACCTGAACCGCATCTGAACTTGCCGAGTTGCTGCTGGAGCTCTCACCCACCGTCTCCTCAACAGCTTCCGAGCTCTTCGTAGCCTTGGCCTGGCGGCTGCGAGCCATGAACCCTTCAGGGGACTTAGGGCTTTGCTAGGGTCCAGTAAGGGCCATGGCTGGCATGGTGAACCAGACAGCACGCCCAACCAACAGGCCCTCAAGTTCTCCCGATATCCAGATGCGCACACCCACTTGTGGCCCATCCCGCCTTTCGGGCGGCATTCTGCCGACGGCCGAAGGGGCCCAGCTGCAATTGCTTCTGCTCCTCGTGAAAGCAAGCCAGAAAGGCGCAGCTGCTGTAGCTGCTTCCAAACACTCAACCCCGGGTCCTTCTCCAGTTGGCGCACAGCTTGGCGAGCTTCCTCCACTCGCACGGCCACGACGAACGCTGAACGGGGTTCAGGGCCCAGGGCAGTTTCGGGAGTCTGGGGTGGCGAGGGCGGACTCCCTGCAGAGCGCACTTAGCTAGCCGAGGCGGGCAGTCCTTCTCACGCAGGCGCATCTCATCCTGGGCCTTCTTGGCCTCCTCCGCCTTGGCCACCATCAGTGCACAGCAGGGTGTCAGTCAGTTTCCGGCTTTGGGGGTTTGGCGCGGCGCGCAAGCTTGATTGGAGGAGCAAAGACGTGATCTGTAACGCTTCCTTGCTACTCCAACATGCAGATGTGTGCAGCGACATGCTGGAAGATGAACAAAGGTCGAAAATCACTCAAGCACTGACGTATGTGGGCAATGAATGTCTCAAGGCCGAGGACCCCGCCCCCTGCAGAAGCTCCTGAATCTTCTGGCGCTTGGCGTCCTTCTCGGATTCCATGCTGGCCTCCGCCTCCTTGAGCTTCCGAAGCCGTTCCACCTCGAAGCCCAAAAGCACGAGTAGGTCCTCTTGATGCTGCACCTCCTTCTGGCGCTCCGTGCACTCCTTCGCAGCCTCACGCTTGCGCTTCCGCAAGTCCTTGGCGCGGCCGAGCGCCTGCTCCTCGAGCTCCGACGCCTCCCTGACCACCTGGCTCAAGCGGTCCACCTCCGCCAAGGCTTCGTCCACCAGCTTCTGCTTGCCCGCCTCGACGTCCATGGCCGCGGCGATCAAAACGTCGTGCTCCGCCAGCTGGGACTCCAGGCGCGCCTTCATGTCCCAGGGGCTCGCAGACTTCAGCTCCGCCAGCACGCGCGCACGCAGGCCGGCCTTGCGCTTGCGCTTGCCTGAACCCTCCGTCCCCTCCGCCTCCTCCTTGCCCTCTGCATCGGCCTCCGCCTCCTCTGCCTGATCTGCCTGATCTGCCTGATCTGCCTCCTCTGCATCGGCCTCCGCCGGCGCTTCCTCCGTGTCCGCCTGGCCTGGCTTCGCATCTGAGGCATCCGGTGCGTCTGCATCTGGGGCACGCGGTGCATCCGAGTCAAGCGGGGCATCCGAGGCACGTGGGGCGTCCGAGGCATCAGCAGAATCTGCGGCATCCGCCGAATCCTTGCCCGAGGCCTCACCGGCACCTTGAGGCGCCTCCGTCACGATGGCGCTGGCGTCCTTCCTTGCTTCAGGGCCCGTCACAGCAGGCTCCGCCGAGAGGTCGGGCTTCACGGGCTCGCCCAGCTCCTTGGCGAGGGCAACGGACACGGGGGGAAGCGGCATCGCGACAACGGCGGCGAGAGCACCTCAGAAGCAAGGGCCCTCTCTCACTGATGCTCGCCGCACGCATAACTCCGCCACTGACACAGCAAGCAGCACCTCCCCTCCCACTCAGCCTCGCTATTCCCGTATACTCAGGCTGGAGCAGCGGTGGGCAGGCAGCACAAATCCCCAGATTCCCAGATCTGGATCGACTTGACTGAAACGGCAGCATGGGTCAATTCCAACATGGTGCTGCTTCCAGTTAGCATCTGCCAACCTGCTTTAACGAGACATCCCTTGCCTGAGGACTTTCAGCCTTAAAGAACTGGACGTGGCATGCAGAGTAGAGACCTGTACATCACAGCTGACCTCTGCTGCCAAAGGCTGCTAGCCTGAAGGGTTCACTGCGTTCCGGATTGTCACGAAGCTCCTACACAGGCAGACCGCATCCGGCGGCCGTTTTCTTCGAAATCGCAAGAGATTCGCTCAGCTCACACCGAACACGAAGACGGTCTCGCTTTGGTGTCTGGCACCAGGTCGTAGAACCTTTGGGGCGGGGGGCTACAACGGAAGGGACCTTAGGGGTTCTTTTTGGCTAGCCTAGCGGCTACTTAGGTTATAGGAACTGTATAAAGTATACATAGAGGGGTTGTATTGGGGACTAAAGATTAAGGGGAGGTGATGAAGCTGAAGCGTAAGAATATCTGCTGCGCCATGCTGGGCAGTTCAGATCTACTTTGGCCCTTCATAGGGATTAAGAAACCCCCCGATTACGGACTGTTAGTATAAGGGGGAACATATCCCAAGGTCTACTTTGCATATTCGCTCAAAAGCTTCGGGCGTCCGACCACTCCAGCTCTGTCGCTTTGGGGAAACCTTGCAAGCCCAGCAGGGAATGAGGGACTGAGTACCCTACATCATCCCTTCAAGGGTATACTGGGCCCGAATTCCCCCATTCCCACTGGTTGGGGCCGATGGGGTATTGATCCCGTATGGTATAGCTGTTCTACACCACACAATATCATAACAACCAGAAAACTGTAGTAGTAGCAGCCTATCCATGAAAGGTATCTTTGAAGCATGGAGAGCGTCGACCTCCAAGGCATTTGGGGCCCCGGGCCGTCGAAGGAAATGAAGGCTGGTTCGGGCTATCTGGGAGGTGCTGCGTCTCGAAGCACACCCCAGTGCGGTACCTGCAGTTTAGCCTTCTGGGTTGGGATGTTCCCCTTGTACCAAATCCTTCATAGGGATCCTGATAGGGGGTACTATGATCCCTATTTTGTTCGCACAAGGGGGAACATCCCAACTTATGGGTCCCGTAGGGTTGAAGCGACAGAAACGCACAGATCTTAAGTTCACGTTTATGAGCCTGCGCCCCTTGACCCTTTGTGTTGGCGCCACCTCGTGGTCTTCTTTCTTGGTCGTTCTTCCCCTCCCTACACTGTCAGCATGGCAGAGCTACAGCAAAGCTACAAAAAAGCTCCGAGAAACCGGTGTTTCGGGGGCTTCCGAGTGCTTTTGCCCCTGTTTAGCGTCCTGGAGTCGGCTCGAGGTCGTGAAACACTCGTTGTGTGGGGGCCTAGATTCCCCGAATAACATGAGCCATGTTACGTAATGAGGGAAGTAGTTTAACTATTGAACTAGTCTAACTTCACTAACGAAGTTAAGTAACTTAAGCAATCTGATTAGTTGTATGAATTCAAATAGTCGGAACCTCCTCACTGGAAATCCTTTCATGCAGAGTATTCTCAACATCCGCAGAAACATTGGTCGGCACGGTCGTAATCAGAAAATTCCATTGGGCACTGTCTGATGACGCATTCTGGTGAATGTTGAGAATGCCTATTGTTTCACGGTGCCAAGCGGATGTGCGGAGTACGGTCAAAGCGATTCTGAAAGCTAAAGAATAAGAGAGAGAGAGAGAGAGAGAGAGAGAAAGAGAGAGAGAGAGAGAGTCAGAGAGAGAGAGGGAGCGCGACAGAGAGAGAGAGGGTGGCTGCAGATGCGTCTGATTCGCTTTCAGCTTGCAGGACACACGTCTTGAATCACCAGCACTCAGGGCTAAGGGCAGATGTCTCGGCGCGAGTTCCTGCAGGCTTGGGTTTGGGTCCTCCGGGCCATTCACAGGCCCTAAACCCTAAACCCTAAACCCTAAACCCTAAACCCTAAACCCTAAACCCTAAACCCTAAACCCAAGGGGAGGGCACGTGTACTCTTCCACGCCATGCTTCCCACGGCCACCAAGCCCGAGGATGCTCTGGGGGATGTTGTTGGTGAAGAAGTGGAGGCCTGCCCTAAACCCTAAACCCTAAACCCTAAACCCTAAACCCTAAACCCTAAACCCTAAACCCTAAACCCTAAACCCTAAACCCTAAACCCTAAACCCAAACCCTAAACCCTAAACCCCAAACCCTAAACCCTAAACCCCTAAACCCTAAACCCCTAAACCCCTAAACCCCTAACCCTAAACCCTAAACCCTTAACCCTAAACCCTAGCACAAAGGGCATCACCTCCCTTGCCGAGGGAACCTTACTTGAAGGCTCATGGGTAGTTATAAGTAGAGTTACAAGTACCCTGAATAAGGTCATAAGTATAGTTCCCCTACTTAACACCCTACTTCTACCTTCCCATATCTACCCATGAACCTTAAAGTAAGAGCACCACCTCTTGGGATGTTCCAGTCCTATAGCGACTATAATACCCCTTTTTTCGAATCACTACTAAGGGCTGTTAGTATAAGGGGGAACATCCCAAATCACATCCCTTGCCGAGGGTGATGACCTAAGGACCTGGACGACACATGTCAGGAAAACGGTTTAGAGATGCGGGCCTAGGAAGGGCCGCTACGTCCCTGGGCTATAGTATGCATACAACGCGCACTTCATGGAGACTCTCTTGTCTGAAGCAGCGAGCCCCATATGGGAAATGCCAGGGAGGTGTTTGGAACCACCACCCAGGAATCTTCTTCCTGATAGATGTAGCTGTCCGCAACAGTCTTATGCCATAATCCCTGCAAGAGCAACTGTCACATCCTTCAAGGAACTTCAACACCCGAGAAGTTCCGCCTGAGAAGTCCTAAGATGCCGCGAGAAGCGGTCTTTCATGGGTTTTTCGGTATAGGGGGTTTAGCGTCTCAGGGATTAGGGTTTGAGGGTGTTGGGGTTTAGGGTCATAGGGTTTTGGCTCTCAGGGTTTAGGGTTTACGGTTTGAAGTTTTTGGGTTTCAGGGCTTAGGGTCTTGAAGTCCTCGGGTTTAGGGTCTCGGGGTTTAGGGGGCTGGGCCCACATCCCGAGCCTGGCTCCTCAGTGAAGACCTCGTCGCCGGAAGAGCGTGGGAAGAGCTTGGGGCAACCCTACACCCAGGGTTTAGGGTTTAGGGTTTAGGGTTTAGGGTTTAGGGTTTAAGGTTTAGGGTTTAGGGTTCAGGGTTCAGGGTTTATCCTTTCGTCTCCCCCCCTCGCTCAAGAAGGCAAGGATTCTGTTCGGTTCGGCTTCACACCTCAGCTCTGTATATCCGTCAGGCCAAAGGTTTTTAGGGCTTATGGCTAAACCGTGAGGCTTGCCACCGAAAACATGGTTATGGTATATTAATATACAATAACGGGAATTTTTATAAAGGAAATTGGTTAAATAAAGCTTTGGGATCCATGATCGGTGGGACTTGATGGCAAGCGTTTGTTGATGGTGGGAATTGAGGGGCGACAGCCCTCAACCCCGAAAAGGCCAGTGGGTTCTCGTGGCGGCCTTTAAAAAGCTCTCGGCAGGGGGAGAAAGTAACCGAGCACCAATGTAACTGTTGGACTGCATTGAAGATGCGTGCCTTCGCGTGACACCACAGACTCCTGGGTGTGTTGGGGCGCCATTTCTCCATGATATTGACTGCCGCTGCGCGGCGAAACGCCCTTAATTAACCCTATATAGAAACCCCCAACCCTAAAACTCAGGGCTTCAGCCCCTGAACCCAAAACCCCAAAACCCCAAAACCCCAAAACCCCAAAACCCCAAAACCCCAAAACCCCAAACCCCAAACCCCAAAATCTAAAACCCAAGTCTTCGGCTGTGCCTCCATCCTCCGCCCAGACATCGGCTCCTCGAGGACTGCGTCCGCCGGCCGGGAGCGGACCAGTTGCCTGGGCTTGTGTGTTTAGGGTTTAGGGTTTAGGGTTTAGGGTTTGGGGTTTGGGGTTTAGGGTTTAGGGTTTGGGGCTTTCGGGCGTTGGGGATTTAAGTTTGGAGCGTTCAAGCTGCAGAGCATTGGGCAGTTTGTCAAGGGGGGGATTAGGCTTTAGGGCTTGGTGGTCTCGATTCCAACTGGGCTAAACAAACTCGAAACGTCGACAACCCAAACCCCAAACAGAGCCGTACACTAGGGATTAGGGTTTATTGGGGCCCTTTTGGGTTTGTAGGGTTTGTAGGGTTGACAGGGTTTAGGGTTCATAGGGTTTATGGGGTTTCTAGGGTTTACAGGGTTGACAGGGTTCAAAAAATGTGCAGGGTTTCTCGCATTTGTACGGTTTATGGGGTCTATAGGGTTTACGGGGTTTATAGAGTTGATAGGATTTAAAGTTCAGGGTCCAGCTCTCCCCCATCCCCCGCCGTGGGGCGCTGCATTGAGCGCGATGCCCAGCTCCCGAAGGCCTTGCAAGCTTACCCTAAATCCTGAACCCTAAACCCTAAACCCGAGGCCTTAAACCCTAAACCCTGAACCCTAAACCCTAAGCCCTAAGCCCTGAACCCTTCCACGTTCTTCACTCGGAAGCACTTTTTTCACGCCAGGCGTAGATGGGGCGAAGATGTTGTCCCGACCCAAACATGAAACTTTAACTTCCCCATAGTTCGAGAAGTTTATCAAGGCAAGCGGCTCCCTCACCCACGCAGTATCAAAGGCCAGCGCGAGCCGAATCTCTCATCTTCCAACTCTACCCAGAGACACCAATATCCCTTAACTAAGGAATATACCTTCAATTATAGTAAGATCCCTAATATGATTTAAGGTGTATTCCTTCCTTAAGGGGTATTGGAGTCTTTGGGCAGGCCGCAAGACCGGCAATTTCCAAATGGAAACCCGAAACTCCAGCAATGCAAACATCTCTACAAACGCGAGCTGCAAGGCTGCACAATGACATCAGGGGCCAGATGCACAACATAGCACTGTGGGGGGGGGGGGGAATGGGTGCAATGACCTAAACCCTAAACCCTTTTTGAACCCAAACCCTTTTGCAACTGGGACTTGGGGAACCCCAAACCCTAAACCCCAAACCCCAAACCCTAAACCCTAAACCCTAAATCCCTAAACCCCAAATGCCCCAAAACCTAAACCTCAAACCCAGCCCTAAATCCCTGTTTGCTTAAAGCCCTACATGCCCTCGCTGCAAAACTGCGCCTTGAGGTGCGCCCTCAGGCGATGTCCTCGCGGGGTACCCATCCTCAACCCTGAGCGCTAAACATCTCCAGGCTTTAGGGTTTAGGTTTAGGGTTTAGGGTTTAGGGTTTAGGGTTTAGGGTTTAGGGTTTAGGGTTTAGGGTTAGGGTTTAGGGTTTAGGGTTTAGGGTTTAGGGTTTAGGGTTTAGAGTTTAGGGTTTAGGGTTTAGGGTTTAGGGTTTAGGGTTTAGGGCTGTTGAAAGAACCCCAAGCCTTGGGATGTTCCCCCTTCTACCTAACAGTCCTTACTAGGGATTATAATAGGGGGGGGGGGGGTACTATGGTTGCTCCCAAACCTGACTGCTCTACGAGATGATTTAGGGATCAAGGATTTTAGGGTTCAGGGTTTAGGGTTTGGGGTTTAGGGCTTAGGGCTTAAGGCTTAGGGTTTAGGGTTTCGGGTAATCATTTATTGTCATTAATAGGGATGATAGTAGGCGGTACTATAAACCCTATTAGGGACTGTTAGTATAAAGGGGGTACATCCCAACCCAAGCCGGGGGTCCTTGGCTGACCGGCATTGAGGACAAAGCAGTGATCGTAGCCATCACCTGGTGTCGTCCATTCCTAAAACGTCTTAAGACGTGAGCCCTTCAAAGCCGCTTTGACTCCAGGACCCAAAACCCTAAACCCCAAACCCGAAACCCCAAACCCTAACCCCAAACCCTAAACCCTCAACCCACAACCCAACGCCCGGCCGCAAGTCCCAAGTGCCGCGCTCTCTTTAAGCCCGGCTGCAGTAGATCAGCTGGGAGCTTGGAGCATCGATACCTGGGCTTTTGTGAAGCTACCCGCTGCGGTTAGGGTTTCGGGTTTAAGGTTTAGGGTTTAGAGTTTAGGGTTTAGGGTTTAGGGTTTAGGGTTTAGGGTTTAGGGTTTAGGGTTTAGGGTTTAGGGTTTAGGGTTTAGGGTTTAGGGTTTAGGGCGCAGGGTATAGGGTTCAGGGCTTAGGGTTTAGGGACTCTGCGGTTTGGTGCTTCGGCGCCTTGCTTGCCAGTCATGAACTCCGAACAGCCCCCGAGCCCTGCAAACTAAGAGCCCAATGTGGTTTGATACAAAACCCTAAACCCTAAACCCTAAACCCTAAACCCCAACCGGCGGCGGAGCGCCGTCGCCAATGCGGCGCGGCTGGCGGAAGTCAAAGGGCGCGTCGCGGCCGACGGTGAGGTCGGCGACCTGGAGCTCGGTTTGAAGGGTGTTTTTTTGGGAGTTTTTTTGGGGTTTAGGGTTCATTAGGGTTTAGGGTTTAGGGTTTAGGGTTTTTGGGGAGTTTTTTTTAGGGTTTAGGGTTCATTAGGGTTTAGGGTTTATTGGGGTTTACTGGGGTTTATAGGGGTTTAGGAATTTAGGGTTGAGGGGCTTGGGGTTTAGGGTTTGTGGGCTTAAGGGTTGAGGGGTTTGGGGAGGGTTTAGGGGTTGTTTTGGGAGAAGCCAGCCACGGTGCGGGAACGATTTCAGAGGGCTTAGCCCTTCCCAGTGCCCCCCCCCACCACATCCGGAGAGCGGTGCTGCTGTGAACGTGGCTCTTTGCACGCTCCCTTGCGCCCCTGACACTCATGGGTTGCCTACTGACCCCCCTCTATGCTAACCCCCCTGGGGTTCCCCCCTTGAGTAACCTTGAATAGGCTTCATGGTCCCTAACTAGGCTAAATTACGGAAAACCTAGAGAGGAAGCATAGAGGGGGGTAGTAGGGGAACCCATGAAACACGCTTCCGGAAAGCGGGGCTCTTCTTCGAACACTGCTCTGGGTTTGGGGGGTTTGGAGGTTCGGGTGTGGCTTACCCAAGGCCCAAGAACACTCTAGGAGGATCTAGAAAGTAGAACCTCGAACTTAGCAACACCTACTGTGGGGCAGTTGGTAATAATGCAGCTCCGGGGGCAGGCACCATGCGCCCCGTTGGGATACACCTCACACGAGTTCATGGAGGATTTGGGAGTAGGGTGGGGACTTCATTTGTGCGACAGTCAAAACTCCAGTTGTCGGGCCTGGGTCGCGCAATAGGGGGGATCGCTTTTGGTGTTCCCCGTCGCTCCACAGGGTTTTTGTTACGGGGTAAGGGGCATCGCTTCTCGGTGTTACTTGTCGCTCTACAGGGTTTTCGGACCTTCAACTGCCAATTTCCTCCGCTGGGAGGAAGTTTGCAGCTGAAGTCGCCGTTACCGCGGTCTTGACCCTCGCTCATTCAGCGTTTTTTTTGCGAGGGTGTGGGTGTAAGCCTTTGGCCCTGCACCAGTTCCGCCGCAAACATATCCCGAAAACCGCCAGCGAGCCCCTGTGAATCCGGCCTCGACCCTGTGGACGCCGCATGTCTTTCCAAGCCAAACAACCTCAACTGAAAAATTAACGCAACAGGGCCTGTCATCCACGTGCACGACAGTGTCGGCGTGGATACTGACCACCTGCTAGCTTTCGCTTGTTCCACAGGGTCTAGGGTTTATGGAGCTTCGGGCTTCGCCAACGAAAGCCCAAGAAAAGGTGGACACGGAAAAATCCCTTTAGTCCTTGCATTCACCCCACCAACCCCTACACTGGAAACAGCTGGGATGATCCTCCTTATACTAAACAGCCCTTAAGAGGGATTATAGTGCCCCCACTTAAGGACCTACACCCTAAGCCATTTTCCCCAAACCCCCCCCCCCCTCAAAAAAAAAAAAAAAACGATATAGTTTCATGCTGTGAACCCCTTTTTTCAAGTCCTTCCCTTGAGTTGGGAGAGGTACTGGTCGGGGCGCCAAGCTGGATCCTATGAGAATCCCCACTAAGGAACTGTTGAGAGTCCCTAGTGTAAGGGGGAACATCCCAAGGAAACAGCGCCATGGGCCCCCAGCATGATCAAGGATGTCAGGATGCCGAGCTTCACCGGAATGACCTCCAAGAGTTCTACGGTCTAGGGTTTAGGGGGTAGGGTTAAGGGTTTAAGTTTAGGGTATAGGTTTTTTGTGGGTATAGGGTTTAGGGTTTATATAGGGTTTAGGGGTTAGGGTTTAGGGTAGGGTTTGTTGTCTACCATGACCAGCTCCGACATTCCAAGGCTGCCCAAACAAAATGTCCGAGCCCCTCGAGGCTGTGGCGAGAAAAAAAGGAAAAACAGATCTCTGAGGCGCAAGAATTCTCGCGTCTCATCAGCACACCTTCGGAGACCAAGCCCTCCCGCTTTTTAAGCGGTTTCGGGCTATTAGGGCTTCAGGCCACCTTTCAAGTTGAAGTACGTGTGGTTGGTGAGGTTCAGACATTCGTCGCGGTCTGCTTGTGCAACTCTGTGCATCAAAGACCTCTCATGAAAACATCACATAGGTGAACTGCATGGAAAGAAATCGCATAGGCGATCTGTATGACAAGGAAAACTCCAATATTGCAAACTGGAGCCTCCTCCCGAAATGAGGATGTCACATAGGTGACCTTCATAGAAGAGAAAAAGCCATACATAGCCAAATGAATGCCTGCAAAAAGCCCATGTCAAGAAAAAGACAGGCTCCTCTCTCTTGACAGCTGAAATCCACCTGGGCCAGAGATGACCCAAACCTACTTTGCACTCGAGGAAGCAGCCGCTGCAGAGTGACAGAGCTCATTCCGCCACAAAGACAATGCACCACGAGGAGTGCACCGACCACATCTAGAGCATTGAACTTTCGTGCCATCGTCTGTTGGCACCAAGTGGTGAAACGGTTTCCCAGCACGCTTGTTGAGCAAAGCACACTGATCATACAATTTGCGGAGCAAGGTTGCTTTCATTTGTCCAGTTGCATTCGTTGCAGCACGCCTATCGCATGTCTCTGTGACACCCATCGTCTTGTGCACCCTGATGCGTTCGTGGTTGGTCATCAGCTTCATTTGCTGCACCACTGCTTCAGGATAGCTCTGACCAAGTTTCCAGCTGGAGCGACGGATGCTTGCAACAACTTCGCAAACAGTGGGCGCAGGCTGCGCAGGCTTCGCAGCATCTTTGCGGACTTTCTTGTCGCTGCTCTCCTCAGCACCAGCCCGGGGCTGGGCGCTGGAAGCAGCCTCACCAAGTGACTCAGCCGGAGGAACCACCAGCTGCCGAACTGGAGGCTGCACAGACCCCACAGCATTGGCAACACAAGGCGGTGGTTGCTTCTTGTTCAAGCGCACTCGCTTTTGTTCGGCTTCAGGGACAGGAGCTGGAGGATGCCAGACCCGGCACTGCAGCTGTTGACGATGCACTCCGTTCTTGCCCGGGCCACAGGTACCATCCATGCAAGGATGCCAAAGGCTGAGCTGTCCATTTTGTGTTCGACTTGGTACCGGGGCCTTGTAACGCTCATCAGGATGCCATAGAAGATGCCCCTCTGTAAGAGCTGGCACCCAACTGTACGAGCCAATCGGCCTATTAGCCCTATCCAGTGGAAGATTCTGCTTCGCAATCCATCCAGCCAAAACGCGGCCAACCGTGAGCGGCTGCATGAGTTGAGGCCGCACAGAGAGCCCAAGCGCCGCCGCAAAACCCATCGATCTCAGGATAACGGCCTTTCGTATAACCGAACCAGGGAAAAGAGAGTTCGGAAAACTGCAAGTCACCCTGGCGATGACGTTGGCCATGCTTTGCGCGGCTTTTTTGAATGCTTCTGCTTGTTGGACAAGATTGGTAGGGTTCTGGTCCATTTTCCACATCCTGCAACCTGTGGACAAGCTGAAATCAAGCACCAATTCAGCCCATGTAACATCGGCCACTGTTAACGGATTGTCGGCATCAGGAGTTGTGTACCACTTGAGGTGTCGGAAGTACCATTGCACCGCATGAAAAGCTTCCAGCCCATACAGCCAGAACTGCCGAAACTGCGGCGTAACTTGACGCCAGGTGACAGGTTGTGGCACTGCATGGCTGTGTCCATCTTCATCACCTTCTCGAGGCCAAACATAATCAGGATAGATGTTGGAAAACTGCGCCGCCGGCAGAGCCTCAACAGCCATAGCCTGATCCCTCTCAGCGCCCGGAGCAGCGCTTTCAGGAGGCGGCTCCGGAGGATCATTCACCTGGATGTCCTCCGCAGTGGCCGCTTTCTGCGCCTCCAGGATGTCGACACACATGATCTGTATAGCCCGCACCAGCTTGGCATACTGCTTGTACTGATCAGCAAGATCATCCGGAGGCTTGACGGAGTCAGCTGCAGCGGTGGCCAACCTGTCTGCTGCAGCATTGTACGCCGTGTGGAGCTGGTCTTGCCCAGAGCCCCCTCTGCCATGTGCCGCAACCTTGGTGAACTTGAAAAAGACGGAGCCTCCTTTGGCCTGCCACGCATTGGCTGCGTGCTCCAGGAGATCCGCATTTGCCAAGTCTTTGTAGGAGATGCCCTGCTCAATGCGTCTGAGACCGTCCAGCGTGGCCTTTCGATCGATCAGGATTTCAGTGGGCCTCCACGCCGTCCTGATGATGTGGAGAGCTGCCGCAATCTCAGCACGAGCAGCGTCACGGACAACTCCCATCAAAGGAAAGCTTCTGTTGCAACTGTGGTCCTTGCCATAGTACATCCCACATCCAGCAGATCGTAGCTTTGGAAACTGTGCATGCCGACACGCCCCGTCCGACGCAGTGAGAAGGAAGCCATCGCGAATGACTTCACATTCCGCATCGCCAGGTTCTGTAGCATGTGCAGCGCCATCTGTCGTTTCTGGGGTATAGCTTTGTACAAACCAATCCTCAGCCTCAGTATGCACGGGAGCAACGCCGCAGTGAGCCAAACATCCATGCATGAACCACCGCTGCTGTTCTGTAGTGATGGACTTCACGTACTGCCGCAAGCTTTCCCATCGCGGGCAGGTCCAGAAAAGATGCCAGCCATCCTCTTCTTCATGCCGATCACAGAAAGTGCACCACGGCGTTTCAACCACCTTGGCCCGATGCAGCCGTTGGCGTGTGTAGAGGGCACCCCCCAAACATCGGCGTAGAATCCCAATCCGCAAAGGAGTTGTGACATTGGGGTTGCGCTCCCAAGTGCGCAACAAGGCAACCGTGATGTCATAGTCAACGCCCGCATGCTGGCCAACGTTGTCCTTTCTGTGAGTCCCGTTTGCAATCTTGTCGCGTCTGTAGGATTCCCGCAACTGATGCTCGAAGATGTTTTTTGCCAAACCACATTGTAATGGAACATCACCGGGTCGCTGAAAAACATCATACTGAGACCAGGTCCATCCCAAATCCCGCGCAACAACGTCAAGTCTGTGCAAAATACCACCGGTGACCACTTCGGGGCACTGCTGCTTGAGCGCCCATGCGTGTTGTAGTTTGGATCTGGTATGCTCGTCTCGAACAATCTGGCGTCGCCATAGGCGTAGGGGTTCATGATGCTCTATGGCCTCAACATCGAAACGATGACCTTTGAAGAGAATCGCCAAGGTAATGGCCATGTTTGGCCACATATTGTCGCAATTCCACAAGGTCTGACGCAACAATGCCATGTACTCCTTCTTGGCCTTGTCGGAGTATCCCCCTTGTTCTGTGCCAAAAGCTATGGCCGCGGAGGCAAAAATGTCCACCAAGTAGCCGCGAACCTGCGGAGTGCCGGGTACACTTCGTATTCGGCGCATGACCGTGATGAGCCGCTGAAGTCTCTCATCTTGCTTGTCCTCTGGGAAATCACCGCCAAAAGAGAGAAAAGCACCCAGCAGCTTGCCATAGTCTGCTACCGTGAGCGGTTGCCCATACAGGTTTTGCTGCTGCAAGTGTGCTTTGAGCTCTTCCCCAATTGCAAAAGCGATGGACTTCTCTCCATTCAGCAATCCGCCAGTGTACTCATCGAACTCTATGGTTGCAGCCAAAGCCGTATCAAGAGTCTCCTGGTCTGGCCCCGTTGTGCTGGAGTCATCATAGAAGGAATACGTCACTGCTAATGGGGCACAAGAGGCCAGATCGCGATGCCAAACAGCCATATGCATGAGTATGCTGAGTATGCTCCAAGAGCATCCTTGGGGCAAAGCATTCGTGGCTTGAAACACACGTCCGCAGAACTTGCCGATTTTGAGAAACCTCTTGGTTTGACGACAGAGCCGATTCATGGCAATCCGCACGCCCTCTGGAGCTTGAAAAACTCCCGCCAATCCATCTGTGATGTCAAAGGTGAGGCGATCAAAGCACTTTTCCCTGTCGAAGAGGAATCCCCCAATCGGGCGACCTTCTAGTTGAGCGACCTCAACATCCAAAGAGAGCATGATGGAGATGTCATGCGTGGATCCACCTGCTCTGGCTCCACGCATATTATCTGGCATCCATTGTTCTCTCCACGACTGCATGTGACGGAAACGCAGTGAACTCCAACAACGGTAGAGTATGCCAAACACTGAGATAGGGCGCTGCTTTCCAGGTTTGGAGACGTCCCCCTTCGGCATCAAGCCTATTTGCGCATACGTGAGGCTCTTGGGCCATTGCATGCCTTGCTCGATGGCATCAAAGAAGTCCGCAACAATTTCCCATAAGAAGAGCGGCAGCCGTTGCAGCTCACCCGCTCTCCACCCATCCACGCCCTTTCCAGCATGTAGTGGCAACTTGTGAACCTGTGCCTTCCAATCTCTGGCAGTGATTTTAGGCAGTTTGCAAGGCGGGCACGCAGGGAAAGTGTGCCCATATCGCTGCTGAAAGGCTTCCCAAGTGGGCGGCGTATCATGAGAGTACAGGTTGAAGAGCTTAACCCAGAAATCCTCAAGAGACAGAAGCATATCAGGAACTGCTGACTTGACCCCGTCCTCCGCAATCACGTGTGTGATAGGTCGTTGTTCTCGTTGGCGAACCCATTTGCACAAGACACTGCGGTCATTCCGGAAAGATTTTCGCAAAGACTCCCGCCACTTTTGGACTCGACCTTGTGCTTGCCGCTTGGCTTCCCAGTCGAATCGTCTGGCAAGAGCATCAACTATGGCCTGCATATCCTGGATTGCTGGTTCGGCGTCCGTCCACCACCTGTCCCAATCTGCTTCAAGCAAACCACGACCCTTGCGGCAGAAACTTCTCCATGCCTCAACGCGCTGTCTGTAGTCAGCCCCGGAAATAGGTCTGCCTTCCGTGTGCCAACGAACATGTCGGCGGGACTGGGCTAGATAAGACCGGCCCTGCTGTAGAAGCTTCTGAAGTTGTCTCAAATGCATGGTTTGAGCTCCCCCGTTGATGTTTTCCCTCGGCGCCCTCGAGCTGAACTGGTCAAACCTTGGAGGTTGGCCACGACCCAGCGACCAAGTGCATGGCAGCTCCTCTGCCAGAGCTTCGAGAAAGCATTCCAAACCATGATTTAGCAATTGCCATGCTCTATCAGCCCGACCCAGTTGTAGTGCATCCCGATATGGAGCCTCTAAGGGTTGCCAAGTGCGTTGGCCCATTTCTTCAAGGGTGGCATCGTCATACTGGGGCATCTTCTTCAAGGGAAAGGGCCTAGGCTGACGCAGCGTGTACCCTTCCTCTCGAAAAGCTGTAAAATTGAACTCCGCCTCAAGCACAAGGTGGCCTGGAAGGCCAGCATCCCTGACCAGCCGAAAATCACGCAATGCACTGAGCGCTGTAGAGTTAACCAAAATGTAGTCAATTCGGGTAGCGCCCGGTATTGCTGCATGTTTGTCCCACTGAGGGTCTTGGCAATACGTGGGAGCCAATCCTCCAGCATGACCAAAAACCTCACCCGCATCATGCCATCTGGACGTAGACAACGCAGTGACAAGGGTAGGTGACTTATCGACCTGAATGTTTGCGTCCATACCGATGATGAAGGGCACATCCCCGTATCTAGAGGCCACCTCAAACACTTGCTGCAACATGCGTTCGTTACACTCAAAATGCTGATCTCGCCGATGCGGGCTTCCACCTCCAGCAAGACCATAGAAGCTGGCAACCATGATGGAGCGATTCCTGGCCAAAGGGACTCGTGCCAGCGCAAACCGCTGCCGCTCCCAAAGATTGCGGTCCGCATCATATGAGGTATCATGTGCCAGTGTAGACTGCGTGGGCAACCGTGACATGATGGAAACTCCTCCATGTCGACCGTTCCAAATAGTGGGCTTGATGTATCGCTGTCCTCCCTCCTGGAGTTCCTGGGAACTTTGAACCGGAACTGGGGCTCCATGAAGTAAGTGGCGACCTGCGCTCCTTGCAGTGGTAGTGGCTTGCTGTTGTGCCACTGCGGTGAGCCGACTTTCTTGCATTAGTACCACATCTGCATTCCATGACAGCAACTCCGGAGCATGTGGTCTCCAAGCTGTGATGTTGCAACTGCGAATTACAAATTTGCTCTCCACCGGGACGTTGGGCGCCTCCGATGGTATCACTTGCGGCAGGCCTGCATCATAACAGCTTCGGCTTGATGTCTCCCTGCTTTGTTCCCCTTGGCGAGATCCATGAGAAAGATCTCCCGACCCCAATGCGATGTCACTCCTAACCCGGGAGTTTGTGTCCTGGGATATCAAAGGTGTAACCCGACCACTCTGCTGCCCATGTACTCGCCAGGCCGTCTGAGATGTTGCCATCACTCGGCCCAGGTCACCAAACATAGTAAGCAGAATGACAAACCAAAGGCAAATAGCTCTGCGAGGTCGGCGGTGTCCCCTTGCCGAAGCCCCCCCGCTTCACTTCGAAAACTTGGCCCTCTTTTCTGCGACGAGCTCCTCAAGCATTCCCTGGATGTTTCGAAAGCGGTCATCTGTGCTGTCCGCTTTCTGTTCCACCTGGGAGATCCTCGCATCCATCGAGTCGAAACGTGCCAGAATTGTTTGATGTCGCTCATCAGTCATCTCCTCATCTTCCTGCGTCGGCTTGGCCGTTTGGGCAAGCTGCAGTTGCTCAATGCTTGTCTGCATGTTCTGCACCGTGTCCGTGAGCATCTGCACCTGCTGCTGGAATTTTGTCTCCAAGCCCGCATACCGTACCTCATGCACTTCGCGATGTGGTGTAGCCGTAGCCTGTGGAGTGGCCGCGCGTTGCTGCGGGCCCCGAATCGTCACCGGGGTTCCAATGGCACCCTTCCCGATCTGAGTGATGTTGAACCCTGGCGGGGGAGGTGGCGGGAAAGTGGAAGTTCTTGCCGATGCTGCCGCGGGCGGGGCGCGGACACTGTTGGGCAACTCATTTGCCCCTGAGGCCTTCAAAGCAACAGTACCCACAGGCTGAATCTCTACCAAGAAATCACCCGATGGCGTGGGCATCGTAACTGCTGTTTGCGCTGGCGCTTTGGGTGCTCGCACCTTGGCATGGCGAGCTTGCTTGTACACGTAGAAGTCCAAAATCGCACACTCGAAGCCCATCTGGGTGTTGAGCACTGTCTGGGCCTGATCACGCGAAAGGTGCAGCGGAAGATTTTTAACCACGAACATATCCGCGCCCACCAGTGCGTTGGGACCAAGCACCACCTTTGTAACTGCACTCAAGGCTTGCTTTTCGCACCGAACTCCCAAGCCACGGGATGTGCACACCAAACCCATGTGATCCCCAAGACCCTGTAGATCTGCAAGCGCCGTGGTCAGCGGAACTTCATCCTTGTAGTGCACAACCTTGTACTTTTCCCTCTCCTCCATCAAGGTGTCTCGGTCACCAAGGTGGGCATGCTCGAAAAAGACTCCGTCACATCCAGAATGTCTCCATACTTCACGTTCATGATCATGTGGCGCCTTGAAGAGGACTGAAAGGATCTGGGTGGCTCCCTTTCCGTAAAGTCGTGGACTCCACACATCCAAGATGGTAGGTGTCTTCTTGTCCTGTGAGAGTAGCTCCGTTTTCTTCTTGAGCAGGGTTTGGGCAAAGTCCCGAAAAGAATTCTTGGAGGTACGGAAAACTCCAAAGGCTTCTTTCCACATGTCCTGCGTGCAAAACCGCTGGTGGATAGACATGGTCAGGTTGACGGTTTCCTTCAAAATGGGCGTGATGTCAACCTTTGGTGGCTGTGCTGGAAGGGTGAGGGGTTGTTCTCCCACCTGCCAGTAAAAGCCCTGCACATACGACATGTGTCCCCCACGCTCGACAGGGATGAAGAGGTTGGTGGAGGGCATGTATCTTTCCATTTCCGCCGTGGGCGTGAACTCTGAAACCATCAACAAAGGCTCTGGGTTCTTTGAACCCGCGAAGTGCTGAAGGAACAACTCGGCCTGGTCCGCATCCAAGAACAAGAAAGCGCCCTTGGGGTTGGGTTTGTCGAGGGAAACATGCTGCAACCACACTCCGTCACTCAGAGCCTTCACCATGGCACCGTCCTGCAAGGCTTCCTGCATGGAAACTCGGTCCTTTGGTGGCTGCAACCTCTGATTCTTGGCAGGGCCCTTGCGGGGCTCTTCCGGTGCTGGATTTCGCTTGCCTGCATCTTTTGCATCACGATGTTTGCGACTGAGGCCTCACGTCATTCTTTGATGCCAAATCAAACACTGCACGGACTTTGTTGCGCTTGGTAGCATCATTTTCATGCAGGATGCGTGTGAGCTCCGCTCGTGCTTGCGAGTACAGCTTCTCAAACGCCTCCTTGCGCAAGTCTTGCTTGGGCGCCCAAGGCAAATCATCGAAAAGAGACATCAGAGCGGCTTTTCCGATGTTGCCATTCACCATGCGCTTGAAAACATTCCGAGAATGCCTAGAGATAGTCCACATGGTACGAATCACCAACATCTGGATGTGAAAAACGACGTAATTAGCAACCACAGGGGCTGTCAGCAGGACCATGATGTGCAAGCACATCTGAGGGTTTACGTCGGGTATGAAGCACAAGCTCTTCATACCTAGCAGTCGCTCTGCACTCCGGAGCGCGCCTGCCTGCCTGTGGTTGGTGAGGTTCACCACCGTCGCTTGGTCAGTTTCAGCGCCGTACTTGATCCGCAGGACCTCCAAGACGACACGGCCAAGCTATCAAGACACATCTTCAAAGACTGCGCCGGACCACTTGGAATCCATCCAATCCCCTCCTCCCATTATGTTACAGCTCCTCCCATGGGGGGGGGGGGGGGGATTTATCATAAGGGGATGTCCGCGTGGAACTCGAAAAGAACCCGATCTTGCTAAATCTCCCATGGCTCAAAGAGACCCCTTTTCATCTGAGAGGCCGTCTCGCCAGACTTTGCTGACGCCAAGCTGTACTCTACCTTCAGCGGAGGAAAACATGCAGAACCACCTTTTCCCTCTCTTTATTTCTAAATAAACCCTCTTGAACCCGGTTTCTCTAGATACACCCTAAACCCTAAACCCTGAACCCTGAAGCCCTGTTGCAGACTCGGACTTCCATCGTGAAGCTGAAGGCTACCTGGACCAGGCAGGGCTAGAGAGTCATGAGGCCCGCACGTTAACGGTCAGCGTGCCAGGGAAGCCCTCGTCCATGTCCGGCGAAACGCGCTGGAAAAGCACCTGAGTCCAAGAATCCCTGGGCCCTGGTGATATGACTCCTTGCATGGATGAGGGAATGGCAGTGGGCGGATGGGAGGGGCCTTGCTGCGGTGATACCAGTTTGACTCATGTGGCTCATGTTGTCAACTTGTGTGCCAGCAACAGCGAAGGAAGTTGATGGACCCTGACTCTGTCATGCATGAGAACTCACCAGTTGCAAGTGTGGACTACTACCCGACTCACTGCTACCACAGCAACTACAACGGTCAGCATCGCATCACTATCGAAGCCGAGCCAGAACAAACGATAAGGATGTCACGCGAGCGCTTTCGGCATTGTAAGAGAGCCCACCATTCGTCCAAACCCCCCGAAACGCATCGTCACTCGGCCAACACAGAAACACTCAGGAAGCCCCATCCCGCCAACCCTCAGACCCTCAGCTTAAACCCCCCAAAGCCCCAAAGCCCTCTTTGGCGTCGGGGCCTAAGCCCAAAATCCTAAACCCCAAGCCCTACTCGACAAGTGCGGCACGGAGCTGCCAGTCGCGCTGACCTCATTGGCACAGCAGCACTTGACGCACATCGGAGGGAGAAGGCCTGCTTGAGCTTCATGGTACTTATTAACCAATCATAACTGCACTTATAACCCACTTATAAGACCCTTGAGTGCCCTAATCTGGTTATAAGTCTAGTTGAAAGTATAATTATAATTGGTTAATCAGTACCATGAACCTCCAAGTGCTTTCCTTGGACTACATTGTCGCGGCTCGCAGCGCTTCAGCTTGTTCGGGGGGTTCATGGTCTTTGGGTCAACCTATGCAAGTCAAAAGCAACAAAGCAATCCGCCCCAAAAAGCCTCCAACCCTAGGGCCTAAGGGTTTAGAGCTTCGGGTTTCAGGTTCCCAAGATACCCCCTGTGCCACGTGGAAAGATCCGCTGGCGCTCAGCCAGGGTACAATGTCCCAGGTCAGGTTGTCGAAGCTCCAAACTCCTGCAAACTTCACGCGAACATGCGGCAAGGTTTGTTGCCACCCACCTAGCCGACGGGACCTGAACGCACCGGAGCAATCAGACAACCAACGACCCTGAACCGTGTACTCTCAACTCACACAAGTACCCAAACTGCCTTGAGGGATTCGGTACGGACTTTACTTGGGCCGACTCAGAGGTCCGTGTGCGCTTCGGGGCACCCTGAGGCTAACTGCAGAGGAACGTGAGAGACGTCAACCACGCCCCATCGAAGAAGCCGAACACGAGGACTCTAAAAGCAGAAGGAGTAGGGTTTAGGGTTTAGGGATTAGGGATTAGGGTTTAGGTTTAGGGTACGCAACACTGTGCCCTTTGTTGTTCTGAACTTGGTGCACCGACATCAGGGCACCCGGCCAACCAACCGGCGAGCCAACCTCCCACCAACAACGCAAAATCCTCGACCGCAGTACACGCAGACTGAGCCCCCCCGCCGACACTCAAGCTACTTGGACACACATGCAGCTGCATCAAATTCTCGTGGAATAAATGTTCAGCATGATCGAACTTCCGTGCTCAGGCCGTTGCCTGTTTCGTGAGCCAGGTCCACATGGCTGACATGCAGCTCCACACGCTGGGAAAGGGGTTTAAGGCAGGAATAGGCGAGGCCTGCAGGAGCCCAAACGGCGAACCCATCATCAACACAACCCCACAAGCTAAAGAAGCAATCAAAATACTTGATGCACCAACAACGGCCTGTGGCCTGACCCACGGCAGCCGCGGGGTGAAAACTTGGGATGTTCCCCCTCATACTAACAGGCCTTAATGAGGATAAAAATAGTGAGTACTATAATCCCCATAAATTTCTCTACTAAGGACTGTTAGTATAAGGGGAAAACGACTGTCATGACACAAAGGCCCGCTCCTCCATGCAAACAGTTGGTGCCATTGTTCTGTGCCAGTCGGTATTCTTTGCCATCCTTACTTCTCCAGTATGCCACGGGAAAGGAAGGTCGAACTTTATTATTCCTACTAAATAAGGAAACAAAAAAGTTTAAAGTTCAGCTGTTGGCTAAGCAAGCATCCAGCACGAAGCGCCCATTGGCGATGCGGTTTGCAAACCTCGCGAACAGATCCCAGATCGCTCAGTTGTGGCAGTTTGCATGGGGGGATGGTACAGGGCTTGGGGGGCACAGGTTCGTGCTAACCCTCCCCCCCCCCCCCAAAAAAAAAAAAAAACGCTTCTTTATTGAAACCAGCTTTTAACGGAATATATCTCGAGGAGGCAAGGCCAGGCTCAAGAAACATCCGAGAAGCCGTCCGACTGTCTGACCCATGGACACCACGTGGGCCTCCTCGGCACACAAGCGTTCTGCTGTCGGCTGTTGCAAGCGCGAGCAGAGCTCACGGTCAAAAAGCAGCCTGGAGTGACGAAGGCTCTCAAAGCTCCGACACACGATCCTTCAGGCTTCAGGATCATACGAACCATTATCCTGCAAGCCTGAGAACCCGTTATGCGCTGACCCGAAATCGGCCCGAATCCGGACACAGACCCCTTCAGAGTAGGGCACCAGTTTCAAGGCATGATGGTCAACGAGCACGGAATAGCATCCCACCCCTGGCCGGCATGTGCCGAACCCCATGGCCCATGCCCTAAACCATGGATCAACTAGGATGGCCCTGAAAACCTCTGAAAAAATGTTCCTGAATATGAGGCCTCTTAAGCCCAATAAGGGAAAATATGACGTGCCCCAAGCCCCTACCTCGTCAATGCAAATCTGGGCGGGGTTGGAGGGGACACAGTGTGCCCAGGTACATACCCGGCGAGCGTGTCGTAGCCTCGCGCAAGTAGTGGATGAGAATTGGGGTTCGGGGTTGGGGTTTGGGGTTTGGGGTTTGAGGTTTGGGGTTTAGGGAGGGTTTCGGCTATCACGACTAGTGCGCGCGCAGGCAGGGCTCGAGAGTTCTCAAGTTGGCAGACACAGCACACTGGCTTGTACACTGACACCCAACACGGATCAAAGTGTCCCGACATAGATAGCGATGCAAGCAAACTCTCCCCGATATAGATGCAGGCATCGCAGGGAAAAGTGGGGAACAGTGATCTAGATGGGCTTAGGGGGGTTTAATCCCTGCCCCCCTAATATTAAATACCACCCCCATCTACTATAATATAACCCGAATGGGGGGTATTCAATATCAAGGGCTTGGAGGGGACTTTATAGAGTTTAGGAAACGCCGCTTCGAAGGTTAGCAGAGTTTCGCGGAGCGTGTGCGGAGTAAACCCAGACGACTTGTGTTCCGAATCGAATAAAGGGGCCTCAATAATTAGAATAGGGTTTTGGGGGTCTATTCTGAACAAGAACTGAAAGGGACCGCAAGGGAATAATAATAGTAATTATTCTGACCCCTATGGTAACAGTCTCAGACCCAAGTTTTCGGGGTTGAGGGAGCGAGTTGGAGGCTGAAGAGGCTTTCGGGCTGGGGGTTTAAGGTTGAGGGCTTAGGGCATAGGGCTTAGGGTTTAGGGTTTAGGGTTTAGGGTTTAGGCTTTGTGCCGAGGTTGAAGGCTTTGGGGCATTGCGGGTAGCTGGGCTCCTTGATGGCCAGGGACCGCCTCTTTGTATTTCAGATCCGGGAGTTGAAGGGCCCTAAACCCTAAACCCTGAACCCTAAACCCTAAACCCTTGCTACCTGGCAACCCAGCACCACGTCGCCCAGGTTCCCGGAGCGGTCTCGAACCCAAAGCGATGTCAGCGTGGCGCCATAGTTGGTGATCGTCGCCGACCTTTCGTGACAGTGGCTTCGGGTTCGGGGTTTAGGGTTTAGGGTTTAGGATGTAGAGTTTAGGGTCTAGGGTCCGGGGTCTAGGGTTGAGGGTTGAGGGTTGAGGGTTTAGGGTGTAGGGTGTAGGGTTTAGGGTTTAGGGTGGGTTTAGGGTTTAGGGTTTAGGGTTTAGGGTTTAGGCCCCCCGGCTGGAATTTCGGAGCAGGGGATGAGGGGGTGGGCCTCTTTTTGCATCGTGCGCCTCGTTCGGCGGGCATGCGTGCCACAACTCATCTTTGTGCCTAAACCCCAAACCCTAAACCCTAAAACCTAAACCCCCAAACCCCAAACCCCAAACCCCAAACCCAAAACCCCAAACCCCAAACCCCAAACCCAAAACCCCAAACCCCAAACCCTAACCCCTAAACCGTAAACCCTAAACCCTAAACCCTAAACCCTAAACCCTAAACCCAATGCGCCGAGCATCTCGCCGTTGGAGCCCTTCAGCGTGACCAACTTCACCTCATCGATGTAGTCAATACGGAGCTGGGGCCAGGTTAGGGTCGGCCATCTGAAGAGGGTTTAGGGTTTCGGGTTTAGGGTTTAGGGTTTAGGGTTTGGGGTTTAGGGTTTGGGGTTTGGGGTTTAGGGTTTAGGGTTTAGGGCAAAAGGGAGTCAGAGGAGTCGCAGCTACCAAGTCCATTCGCGACCAGGGGGCGCGGCGCACATCTCCCCATACCCCCCGCGGGAGCCCAATCTCAAAAAGGCGTGGCGTGGTTGGACTTCATACTTTCTTCCAGCTCCTATCAGGGCCTCCCACGGGCAAACCACCCTGTCACCTGAATCCCCCAAAACTTGCCCAAAACCTGGCGCCCTGGGACCCTGAACCCTCAACCCTCAACCCTCAACCCTCAACCCTAAACCCTAAACCCTAAACCCTAAACCCTAAACCTAACATCTTCGCAATCCGCAAAGTCTCCGCGTGGCAGCTGAGGCACTGCTTTGCCATCATGCTGGCAAACTCCCCAGTCGCAAATCGACGCCATCAACACCCACAAGCTTTCGATCCCAAAGGGGCTTCGGGTTAAGGGTTTAGGGGTTCAGGGTTCAGGGTTTCGGGTTCAGGGTTTAGGGTTTAGGGTTTAGGGTTTAGGGTTTAGGGTTTAGGGTTTAGGGTTTAGGGTTTAGGGCTTCCTTGTGGAGAGACTCTTGGCGCTGCCCAAGTGGGCAACCAACAGGTATGCCTAGGAATGCTTGGCATCATGGGCCTGGACCCCATGTCTCTTGCCATTCCATCAAGGGGCCTGTATGCCCAATCCCTGAGGGTTTAGGGTTTGGGGTTTAGGGTTTAGGGTTTAGGGTTTAGGGTTTTTTTTTTCGCCACCCGTTCAGCTGACCTGGGTTTAGGGTTTAGGGTTTGACTAGGGTTTAGGGTTCCAAGCGAGAAAGAGCTTCTTTTCCATTCGCGCCTCCCGAGTTCAACAGCTGTCTACCTGAACCATGCGTGAGTACAGACGCCGCAAGGAATGAGGAAAATGCACTCCCGCAAAGCTCGGCGTGAAGGACTCGCCGAAGGTCAAGGTCTGTAGACTGCTGGGAAGCTGCACTCCCTCCAAGCTCTGGTTGAAGCAATAGCCGAAGGTCAAGGTCTGCAAGCCGCTGGGAAGCTGCACGCCCTCCAAGCTCTGGTCGAATTGTACGTCAAAGGTCAAGGTTTGTAGGCCGCTGGGAAGCTGCACTCCCTGCAAGCTTTGGTTGAAGTTTGCGCCGAAGGTCAAGCTCTGTAGGCCGCTGGGAAGCTGCACTCCCTCCAGGCTCTGGTCGAAGCAAGTGCCGAAGGTCAAGCTCTGTAAGCCGCTGGGAGGCTGCACTCCCTCCAGGCTCTGGTTGAAGCGATAACCAAAGGTCAAGCTCTGTAGGCCGCTGGGAAGCTGCACTCCCTCCAAGCTCTGGTTGAAGCGATAACCAAAGGTCAAGGTCTGCAGGCCGCTTGGAAGCTGCACTCCCTCCAAGCTCTGGTTGAATTTTACGTCGAAGGACAAGGTCTGCAGGCCGCTGGGAAGCTGCAGTCCCTCCAAGCTCTGGTTGAAGTCCTGACCGAAGGTCAAGGTCTGGAGGCCGCTCGGAAGCTGCAATCCCCCCAGGCTCTGGTTAAATTTCGCACCGAAGGTCAAGGTCTGCAGGCCGCTGGGTAGCTGCAGTCCCTCCAAGCTCTGGTTGAAGCGATAACCAAAGGTCAAGCTCTGTAGGCCGCTGGGAAGCTGCACTCCCTCCAAGCTCTGGTTGAAGTAGTAGCCGAAGGTCAAGGTCTGCAGGCCGCTGGGAAGCTGCAGTCCCTGCAAGCTCTGGTTGAATACATCGCCGAAGGACAAGGTCTGCAAGCCGCTGGGAAGCTGTAGTCCCTCCAAGCTCTGCTTGCTTAAGTCGCCGAAGGTCAAGCTCTGCAGGCCGCTGGGAAGCTCCAGTCCCTCCAAACTCTGATTAAACTTTACACCGAAGGTCAATCTCTGTAGCCCGCTGGGAAGCTGCACTCCCGCCAAGCTCTGGTTGAAAGAATAGCCGAAGGTCAAGCTCTGCAGGCCACTGGGAAATTGCACTCCCTCCAAGCTCTGGTTGAATTCAAGGTCGAACGTCAAGGTTTGTAGGCCGCTGGGAAGCTGCAGTCCCTCCAAGCTGTGGTTGAAGTCCTGACCGAAGGTCAAGGTCTGGAGGCCACTGGGAAGCTGCAGTCCCTCCAAACTCTGGTTGAAGGCATCGCCGAAGGTCAAGGTCTGGAGGCCGCTGGGAAGCTGCAGTCCCTCCAACCTCTGGTTGAAGGCATCGCCGAAGGTCAAGGTTTGTAGGCCGCTGGGGAGCTGCACGCCCTCCATGCTCTGGTTGAAGGAGTCCCCCAAGGTCAAGCTCTGCAGGCCGCTGGGAAACTGCACTCCCGCTAAGTTCTGGTTGAAGTAGTAGCCGAAGGTCAAGCTCTGTAGGTCGCTGGGAAGCTGTAGTCCCTCCAAGCTCTGGTTGAATTTAACGCCGAAGGTCAATCTCCGCAGGCCGGAGGGAAGCTGATGTCCCGCCAGGCTCTGGTTGAAGAAATAGCCGAATGTCAAGGTCTGCAGACTGCTGGGAAGCTGCACTCCCTCCAAGCTCTGGTTGAAGTCCCGACCGAAGGTCAAGCTCTGCAGGCCGCTGGGAAGCTGCACTCCCTCCAAGCTATGGTTGAGGGAATGGCCGAAGGTTAAGGCAACAATCTCATCCATTGCATCTGCTACGTCTTCAATCGACGTGGTTCTTCCCACTGCGCGCTGCATACTGCGTGCCGCGTAGCCGGCACCAAGTTTCCGAGCCACATATGTAACCTCTTGGTCTTGAGCTTGTGGTAGCAGAGGCTGGTGCAGATCGAGGACACGGCCACATGAAGTTAGCAGGATTGACCCCTCCGACCGGCCAACTCTTTCTGCTATGCGTCTCCGCACCTCCAATCCCGTTTCCGTACCGTCCACACGCAGCTCAAATGTCGAGCCGGCAAGGCAGTGGATGCTCAATGGCCGCGCGCTGGCTTCCATCAGGCGTGCCGCAAAAGGTACCCAAGTGATGCCGGGGGCGTAGAACTGTCTCGATGCGCAGAGCGACGCCACGTGACTCGACATCATGAACTATATGGGGGTTTACGAAAATAGGGGACCCCCAAGTCAAACCAAAATAGTAGGATCACCTTCTAATAAGGACCCAAGAAGTTACCCCTAATATCGTAAGCCCCCATATGCTACTGAGGTTCAGCCAGGGTTCGGTCAGCCATGCCTCAAGATTCGCCCTTTTTCCTCTCTCCTGCGCCGGGTGGAGTTTCTCTGAGCCTATTGCAGTGCGAGCAACCCTAAACCCTAAACCCTAAACCCTAAACCCTAAACCCTAAACCCTGAACCCTAAACCCTAAACCCTAAACCCTAAACCCTAAACCCGCTGTTTGGGAGCTGGGCTGCCATGGCTGCAGGCCCCTTCATGCCCCTTCCAATAATCCACGAGCCCCTGCCGAGCCCTGGACTATTCCCGCTGGTTCTTGGTAGGGAATGAAGGAATTCAGGTTCTATATATATATATATACCCTTTAAGGGATTATACAGGGTACCCTAAACCCTATCTACATATACATATACATATACATATACATATACATATATGTATATACCCTTTAAGGGATTTTACAGGATACTCCCTCCCTCACTCCCTACAAAGAGCCAGCCAATATTAGCACACATATGCTGCCGACTCATGGGGCTCACAGGCCCAGGACCCTGAGCACAGCCCTACTTGGAGGTTCATGGTACTTGGTGGCTTGAGGGTTTAGGGTTTAGGGTTGAGGGTTTAGTGTTTAGGGTTTAGGGTTAATAGCCCAAATATAGCTGTACTTATAACTCAATCATAACCATATCAGGGCACTTGAGGGGCTTATAAGTGGGCTATAAGTACAAGTACAGTTGGGTTATTAAGTACCCTGAACCCTCAAGTAAGAGTTGTGCAAAGGAAGCCACCAAGAACCAAGGGGAGGGGCCTGCCAGACAAAGGAGGGAAGTTGCGGAGCCCACATTTTCGGACACCTCAATTTATCTTGGCCGTGCCTTTCGGCGGCCGCGAAAGGAACCAGGGGCTGGGAAGCTCGTCTTTTTTCTGGTTCAGTTTTTGGAGTCTTGTGGGGCTGAGAAAGGGCTTTCGAGCTGTTACTTCACCAGGGCAGCAAGCAACTGCATCAAGCCTCAGACCTAGGCATGCACCTCAAACGTTGGGCCTTGGGGCTGAATTCAAGTCCTTCGGGCTTTAGGGCTGGGTAGCCAAAGGTGGATCCACTTGTGGGCACGTCCACAATATTGCGCAGGCTTCTCCTGCTTGTACGCAAGGCGCAAGAGCAGCGTTTCCTGCTTGCGTCGGGAAGGGCCAGCTCCTCGAAGAAAGACACTTCCACCCGACAGCCCAACACCACGTCGCCCAGGTCCCGGAAGAGTTTTGAACCCAAAAGCGATGTCAGAGTGGCGCCGTGGCACCTGGCAGGTATTACGGAGCCGGGGATGGCAGGGGACCTCCTCTCCAATCATGGGCGTGCGCGCGAGAACTTGAGGATGCTGACTACAACTACTGGTTCATAGTTGGGATGGTAATAAATTTTTAAAATTTTATTCCTTATTGAGTTTAAGTACCCTTAAAAATGTAAAATGTTACCCCACTATGATAAAGACTAGATGGGCGTCGGAGGGCGTTAAGGTCTTGGGCTTTCGGGTCTGACGTGTTTGGCCACGCACCTAGACACGGCTGAGCCTGAACAGGGCTGAGGTCCTGCTAAATGATCCCCCCAAAAAAGCTTCTCTGCACGTCAGCTGGAGCACCGCTTTGAGGTCAGTCATGCTGCCACACACGACACCGTGATCTCAAAATTACATTACGGTCCCTTTTTGGGTACCCTAGATGTTAGGGGCCGCCTTAAAATAGTAACCCCAAATGGGACCCTAATTTAGAGAATCCCCCCATTTTGCCCTTGAGCTTAGGAACGCTTAGGATAATGGGCCCTGGACCTCAATCTCCTGTATTCAACGACACGAGGCCCAACAGAAAAAGGCACAGAAATGCAGAGATAAGCAATGCATTGGAGGTGCATCGAACCTATCTTTTTGATTCCATGCGTGCGTCCGAGCTCAGCAAGTGTCAACCTGCACAGCAAGAGAGGACAGACGCAACAGGGAATTGGGAAGCTGCAGTCCCTCCAAGCTCTGCTTGAACTTTTCGCCAAAGGTCAACCTCTGTAGCCCGTTAGGAAGCTGCCTCCCGCCCTCCAAGCTCTGGTTAAAAGAATAGCCGAATTTCAAGCTCTGAAGGCCGCTGGGAAGCTGCCGTCCCGCCAAGCTCTGGTTGAAGTAATGGCCGAAGATCAAGGTCTTCAGGCTGCTGGGAAGCTGCAATCCCTCCACACTCTGGTTGAAGGCATCACCGAAGGTCAAGCTCTGTAGGTCGCTGGGAAGCTGCACTCCCTCCAAGCTCTGGTTGAAGTAATAGCCGAAGGTCAAAGTCTGCAAGCCGCTGGGAAGCTGCTGTCCCTCCAAGCTCTGGTTGAATTTATTGCCAAAAATCAAGATCTGTAGGCTGCTGGGAAGCTGCACTCCCTTCAAGCTTTTGTTGAAAGAATTGCCGAAGGTCAAGCTCTGTAGGCCGCTGGGAAGCTGCACTCCCTCCAAGCTCTGGTTGAAGTAATCGCCGAAGGTCAAAGTCTGCAAGCCGCTGGGAAGCTGCGGTCCCTCCAAGCTCTGGTTGAATTTTTCGCCAAAGGTCAAAGTCTGTAGCCCGCTGGGAAGCTGCGCTCTCTCCAAGCTCTGGTTGAAGGAATCACCGAAGGTCAAGCTCTGTAGGCCGCTGGGAAGCTGCACTCCCTCCAAGCTCTGGTTGAAGCGATAACCGAAGGTCAAGGTCTGCAGGCTACTGGGAAGCTGCAGTCTCTCCAAGCTTTGGTTGAAGCAATAGCCGAAGGTCAAGGTCTGCACGCTCGGAAGTTGTAGTCGTTCCAAGCTTTGGATACATGTCACACCGATGGTCAACGTCCGAATGCCGCTGGGAAGCTGCAGTCCCTCCAAGCTCTGGTTGAAGTCCCGGTTGAAGGTCAATCCCCGCAGGTCGTTGGGAAGCTGCAGTCCCTCCAAGCTCTGGTTGAATTTTTCACCGAAGGTCAAGGTCTGTAGACCGCTGGGAAGCTGCAGTCCCGCCAAGCCCTGGTTGAAGTGATAGCCGAAGGTCAAGGTCTGCAGGCCACTGGGAAGCTGCAGTCCCTCCAAACTCTGGTTGAAGGAAAAGCCGAACGTCAAGGTCTGCAGGGCGCTGGGAAGCTGTAGTCCCTCCAAGCTCTGGTTGAAGGAAACGCCAAAGGTCAAGCTCAGCAGGCCGCTGGGAAGTTGCAGTCCCGCTAAGCTCTGGTTGAAATTCGCACCGAAGGACAAGGTGTGCAGGGCGCTCGGGAGCTGCACGCCCTCCATGCTCTGGTTGAAGGAGTCCCCCAAGGTCAAGGTCTGCAGGCCGCTGGGAAACTGCACTCCCGCTAAGTTCTGGTTGAAAGAATGGCCGAAGGTCAAGGCCTCGAGGCTGCTAGGGAGCTGAAGTCCCTCCAAGCTCTGGCTAAAAGAAAAGCCGAAGGTCAAGCTCTGCAGTCCGCTGGGAAGCTGCAGTCCCTCCGAGCATTGGTTGAAGGAATGGCCGAAGGTCAAGCTCTGTAGGCCATTGGGAAGCTGCAGTCCCTCCAGGGTCTGGTTGAAGGAAAAGCCGAAGGTCAAAGTCTGTAGCCCGCTTGGAAGCCGCACTCCCGCCAAGCTCTGGTTGAAGTGATAGCCGAAGGTCAAGCTCTGCAGGCCGCTGGGAAGCTGCACTCCCTCTAAGCTCTGGTTGAAGGAATGGCCGAAGGCTAAGGCAACAATCTCATCCATTGCATCTGCTATGTCTTCAATCGACGTGTTTCTTGCCAATGCACGCTGCATACTGCGTGCCGCGCAGCCGGCACCAAGTTTCTGAGCCACATATGTGACCTCTTGGTCGTGAGCTTGTAGCAGCAGAGGCTGGTGCAGATCGAGGACACGGCCACCTGAAGTTAGCAGGATTGACCCCTCCGACCGGCCAACTCTTCCTGCTATGCGTCTCCGCACCTCCAATCCCGTTTCCGTACCGTCCACATGCAGCTCAAATGTCGAGCCGGCAAGGCAGTGGATGCTCAATGGCCGCGCGCTGGCTTCCATCAGGCGTGCTTGCCGCAAAAGGTAACCAAGTGAAGCCGAGAGCTATGCCACTGCCTTGATTCAGGCACTGAAGTGAGCTGAAACTCGGCAAGACCCTCCGTAACCTCTAGAGGCAATGAGCTGTTAATTGTGTTTGGCCAATGTTCGATCAACTATGCCTAGCTCTCCTGCACCAAGTGCTTCACGTTTCGCTTGGGCAACATACACCGCGCAGTTTGGAGCAGGGCTGTGTCCGAGCTCAAGAAATACAACCTGTGCAACTGCGTTGGTTTTCCAGGTCCCTTTTTTCAGTACTAAACGAGCCTCTGCCGAGCCCTCGCCAAACACACATAGCAGGCTGCAGGTTTGTTGGAAAGCTCTCATATTGCTCTGCTACGCGGAATGCATCCTATGCAGCAAAACAGGCCACGCCTTACATTGCGCTCTGCGCGCTTTCGGAAGCCCTGCACGGGCCCACGTGCCTACCCGGACCCACGCACCCACCTTGAAAATCCTTGATCCCTGTTCCAACGCCGCAACAGAAACTGAGAGCTCCTCTCTGCCCAAGTACACGACGCTGTGTCCCCAGGCTGCCCCTTGCGTCGCAGTTCATAGTCCACCTACACCTACTAACCCTAGACCCCTTTTGCTAAACCCGCCAGCCCTTTGTGTGCTAACACCACCAAACTCATGATTGCATCGCGCGCCTGGGTGACCAGCCAGGCTGCAAGGCGGGGCGCCTGCGAAGAGGAAAGGCGCATGGTTCAATTGCTCTTTCGAGTTTACTTTAGGAGTCTCTGGGATTCGTGGGGGCCAGCCTGGGCAAGCAGAGCTAAAATCAATGAGGGGCTGTGCACTCGAAGGGCTATCTACCCCTACTGAACCTGGGAGCCTCTCCACCCTGAACCCTAAACCCTAAACCTTGAACCCTAAACCCTAAACCCTAAGCCCTAAACCCTAAACCCCCATTGAACCCGGGCAGGCCCAAACTCCCTCTTCGGGCTTCACCGTTCCACACCTGGGGGTTTTGACCCATTCGCATCTCATGAACTTGAGGTTCAGATGCATCTGTAGGGTTTAGGGTTTAGGGTTTAGGGTTTAGGGTTTAGGGTTTAGGGTTTAGGGTTTAGGGTTTAGGGTTTAGGGTTTAGGGTTCAGGGTTCAGGGTTCAGGGTGGAGAGGCTCTCGGACTACACGCTTGAACTGACGCATGCCTAGGGTGATAAGCTCTGAACTTCCATGTCCCTTGTTACGCCGAAGGCCAAGGTCTGTAGGCTGAGAACCAAGATGGGCTGTTAGGCCTGATAATCATGGCATCTGCTGTGTCTTCAATCGACGTGCTTCCTGCATCTTCTTGCCGACGCATATATTCCACACTGCGTGCCGCAAAGCCACATGAGCTACGCCTCAGATTCGCCCCTTTTTTCCGCTCCTGCCCGGCGGGGTTTCGCTTAGGCAACATGCACTGCGTCTTGCAGCGAGAGCGGCTGCCAGCCAGAGCTGGGCTGCGATTTTGTCCGAGCTTGAGTGCGTTCGTGTTGCACATCCCCCCAACCATAGAAATACTCTCCTTATAAGGGTACCATAGGATGTTATTGTCTTCTATTTTTGAGGGGGGCTCTTAAGCTATTAGTCGTAGACTATTCCCTCCTTTCAGTGGACAAGCCTCTGCCGAGCCCCGACCAGATGCTGCTGATTGCTGGGGGTTCAATCACCCAGACGACCCCCCACACAGCCCTGCTCTTGAGCATGACAAGAGAAGAAAGCTCTCAGGTCCCACCTGACGCCTCCAGAAACCATGGGCATTGGCAGCTATCAGACACAGAGGAGAGAGATCTTTCTTTGCAATTGCGGAGCCCACATTTTGGGACACCCAAGATGTCTTGGCCGTGCCTTCGGCAGGCGGCCCGCGAAACGACCCAGGGGCTTGGGAGCTCGTCTGTAACCCTGAACCCTAAACCCGTATGAAGGCTTTAGGGAGCTCCCCAGGCCTGGTTCTACTGGCTAGAAGTGGGGGGCGGGGTTGGTGGAGGTTGTCTTGGTCGATGGGGGAGGGGAGAACCTTGGCTGAGCAAAAGCAATCTATTTAGGAAGTGGATTTCATACCACTCTAGATCTCTGTTTGGGGTTGAGGACTTGCTGCCGCCCGGGTTCCCATCATCCCATTGAAAGGCGGTCTTTCCCTGCGTGCCCTGAACACTGATCTTGTTTGCCTAGGGCTCAGGGTTTGCCATCCAACCTCTACGGAGATTTCCCAGAACATCGTTTTTTTTTGCCACCCGCTTAGCTGACCTCTCGGACACTCTGCATGGAAAAGGCGGTTACATACTCATAACATCGTTTAGGGTTTAGGGTTTAGGGTTCAGGTTGTACAGAGTGTGACTAGGTTCTCGCAACACCCCCACAACCATCGGTCTTGCCACCCCCAACATGTCCTTCCTTTTTTTGATATAGATAGAATATTACATGAATCAATCTGTACACATGCCGTTGCATTTTGCGTCAGATCAAAGATTTGGTACGTGGATTGGAAACCAAATTTCTTCATGCACACGCAGAAATAGGATATACATATGAATATACATATATACATATGTCTGTGCGCGAGATAGCAGACCATGTGTATGTGTATAATTTTTCATGAATATAGAAAGATA